AAACGTTTTGACGACAATAGCTTGTGGTCTTCCATTCTTCATTCACTATACCGATGGCCTGGTCACTCTCCACTTCAGGATTGACATTTTCTACACAGACCAACGATGTGTCACATCTTCATGGGGCCTGGCTGAAAATGTTGCACTGTAAATACTGTTTGTTCGATAGTTGTATTACAACAGATAGGAGCTGTGATCATAAAATGTGCACCAGTTCGGAAAATCACTGATCATTTGTGACTTTTGAACGTAACTATTGCGTTCATGTCACAGATCCTGATTGCCATACCTTTTGCCTTTTAAAATTTTGGTGAAGGACTCACAAATGGTAAAAAATGATTAACATATCCTTGTCTCAACTGCAGTTAGTGATGGTTATACCAGCCGATGCTTGTTGTAATTAGAGGTATTGAGGCCCAAATCCGCCATTTTTTTAATGACGTCATCAACACCTGTCCTATTGCTATCTGCAAATGAGAGGAGACTTCACAGGCACAGGGTAGGCGGTACAAGGCACTTTATCTATTGGTCTAATCTACTTTTATTTTTTTAGTACCACGGAGTCAAGAGCTCGACAACCACCTCTCACGGTGAGACTTCATCATTTATCGTTCTTGAGCCCTTAAACAAGACCTGTTACATAATCAGTGTGGCCTTGATCTTCCAAATGCAATGCTACGATATTTTCCTCGATTCCAACACGTATTTATGTTTTATTAAATCAGCTGTACAAGAAATTGCTGATACAGCAAATTAAAGACTAGGTTTATTTGTATTGTTTAGTGTGTATGTATATATCCATAAAATATTATGGATGAAGTCATTCCAAGTTTTCAAATGTCTGATAAATCAATAGTATTTACTTTAAATATAATGACAATGGTAGCAACTTGTTCCACTTTTGTGCACAAGCAACAAATGTTGTTAATATTAAATACACTTTATTTAATACGCCTGGTACAGTTTTCTTCTAAAAGGTCCCCTCGTTGGTCGATATAGCATGGGTGTTTTAGTGGGTAAGGAGACTTAACAAGCCGTCCATGCTCCTGAAGTTCGCTCCTGTCGGAGGGTAGTGCCCACATCCAGTCAAAATGTCATGTGTGAAGCGGAAATACCTTCTGTGTATGTCGGGTTATCACGAAAATAATTTGATTACAAAAAATGACACCATACCTGTTATCAAAGTTTTGGATTAAGGAGTATTTTATTAGTGGTTGTCCTTCCGGCGTTGTCTTGTATCCCCTAACCTTTTCTAGTAAGGGGATCTGTGTGCTGAAAAAGTGTGCATAGCTTTTCACCGCATTTAATATTCTTAATTTACATATGTAATTATTCCTATAATTATTTGTCACTTTTAACTGTGCCAAAATGCACAGAAAATTTAGAACCCTTTCTACTATATCATATACACATTTTAGGTTATATCAGCCTTTGGATGAAGTAGCAGTGGTAGAAATGTTTTTCCCAGCTGCAAGAATGGCCACCCTACGAAATATACGCTTATTCTGGCCAAACAACCATTTGAATTCCGGATTAGGACATGCTGCGATACCTTCGTGGCCTGATTTGCAATACAAACTGAATATTTGTGACTTACTTATTCAAATTCACCTAATAAACATCGTGAATGTTAACATAAGATACTTGATTAACTACAGATGGGTCCTAGAACATTATCAGTTATGTAATGGACATATGAAATTATCAGTTATGTAATGGACATATGATGAACCATTGACCAGCAAATATTCGAAACTTCAACATCATGGATACGCTCCACATTACATGCAAAATTGCCGTGTTTCACAAAACATAATTTTCGAAGGTAAATAATAACTTTTGTCCATCACCAAGTAACAGCTACCAGTATATTTGTTGTCTTCTCACGATCTAACCACAAACATTGAAAACAGCGAACTGTTGTCTCTCGCACGACCTACTATTGTTAGCGTGAACACTTCCTCCAAAGTTGACATGAATAGAAATACTTTCTGCGCAAGAATCGGATATTCCTGTTGATTATTCGCGGATTTCTGTTCCATGGTTTATTTCCATTAGTTACATTATGAAACTTCCTAAATCCAGCATCCCCACTTTATATACTTATTACATCTCACGGTTATATTACGATTTACTCAAATGATTTTTGCCTTTTTGAGACCTTCAAGATCATGCGACTAAACACTCCGTGCACGTCATGCAGCAAATACTAACTATACCAAGAATCGCGACATGGTTGGACACGGTTCCTCGTTGTTATAAGGAGGAGTATGCAATTATTAATTTTTCCTGTGCGACGAATATTCTGCGTGCATCATTCAACTCAAAACCCGTTTCTGTCCAAAACGTCTCTGCAGCTATATTTGCCTGAGTTTGTTTCGTTTAGCAGGTTCCATCAATGTGAATTTCAACACTAACTATTCGTTTAATTTGTAATACAAAGTTCCCCTAACTCTAAGTTTAGGCTTGATAAACATAAAGACCAGTACTCTATAGTCTACCGTTTTAACATGACATGGCATTGAAGCCCAAACCGATGCCTCTTTCGCAAAAATAAATAAATATGAAAACGGAAAGTTTCTCCGCTATTCTGAGCGTCATACTGCTTGTTCAATAGACTTTACCACGGAGAGAATGCATTCCATTTTCAAAGAAAAGTCGACGATGGAGAAACTAACAGCTTCTTAGGTTCCAAAGTTTCCTACATTAAGAGAAAGACCTACTCTTTCCGAAGTGTGTAAGTCCGTATCCCTAGGGCTGTGACCGACATGGCGATTGGCGAAGCATGCTTCAAAGCTGCATGTTTTAATGTATTTGGTGTAGACTTAAAGGCACAACGCCACACGTCTCTAAAAAAACCCAAAACAACCTTCCAATTTATCCCCACTACCACCCGTCCACAACATAGCTCTACAAATTGGCATTTTTGAAAACGATAATAACTTCTTGAAATGGATGAAGAACACTAATTGTTTCTACGTTATACTCCAAAATAGGTTTTCGATCTGGCTATACTGGACTTGCATTGATGAAGAGGTTACTGACAAAACAAAAATTACATTAGATTGTAGTTTACCAAATAGTAAGTGAGTGAGTTTAGTTTTACGCCGCACTTGGCAATATTCCAGTTATATGGCGGCAGTCTGTAAATAATCGAGTCTGGACCAGACAATCCAGTGATCAACAGCATGAGCATCGATCTGCACAATTGGGAATCGATGACATGTGTCAACCAAGCCAGAGACCTGACCACCCGACCCTGTTAGTCACCTCTTACAACAAGCATGGGTTGCTGAAGACCAATTCTAACCCTGATCTTCACGGGTTGTTTACCAAATAGGATGTTAGACCCATCTAAATACACTCACAGCCTTGCCCCAAAATCTCTTCTTTTCTTCACACAACGGGGTATTGCATAGAAGCGAATGATCTGACTTCATAAGATTATGAAGTTTTCATAAAGGCTCTATATCACACCACTTTTCTAAAAATAAATAATGCATTTCTCTCAATAATTCTAACACTATCAGCCCTCGGGGAAGCTACCATATGATTTATTCCCCTAAAAAAATGTAACATTTAGATTACACTATTTATAAGTTCGAATGAATTAATGCAACATTGCACTAAACCGACTCTCGCGCCCTCTACCGGTCAAACGTTATTTCACGCGAACCCAATACAGTTGTGTCCCTTGGAATGCTCTTTACCATTTGTCGACTCGCAACTTGTGATTAAAACCATTTCGGCAAACACAGACGACACTGTGCGACAGGTTTCGATGTAGTGAGTGAGTTTGGTTTTACGCCGCTTTAAGCAATATTCCAGCAACGTCACGGCAGGAGACACCAGAAATGGGCTTCAAACAATGTACCCATGTGGGGGTAGATATTTGGAAGCGCCACTTCAAAAATTTTCAGCCACAGGAGATACGACCAAACTGGTGGCTGTACAAATAGATCTCAAGCTAGCTATCAGTACTACAGGGATTTATCTAGACTGGAGGTCAATAGAAAGTGTCAGTAAAACCAACTACTACATTATCATTATATTAATAATACTTATTTTAGTTTTGAAATAGTCATTTGTTGTTTGCTGATTTTACAGTACAGTACTGGCTGCTGAACAGTTATCGCTGTATTTTAGCGGTATTTACAAAATTACTCCGCCGTTCGTTAAATTAATGAAACAGAATTAATTATGATACTTAATTAGCTTTTCACCAATTGTCCAGCCCGTTCACTGCCACTGATCATGTTTATAGATAACGCGAGGAAGAGAATCATGGCAGTGCAAATAGATGTTTTCTCACAACTAACGGTAACAGTTATGGCCATTTCAGAAGTCCTCATGTCATTCATGAAATATTTTTTTTATCATAAAGCGATTTCGATTAATTGATAGTGTGACTAGTTGGGTGTTTTTTTCGTGTGTTTTTTACAGTAGATTGATAGGGAATGAAACAATTGATGACTTATGTAATGAACTTGCTATTATATAGATCGTGTGACATCCTCCGGATAAACTTAAAAATTTTTTAACACGGTTCATAACTTTATCTTAAATTTTTCTCTTATGTTACTTACAGTGAAGAATTCTCTTTTGCTGTCCTTTTTTGTTGTAAAAAAAGCACAGGAAAAATACTGAAAGAGTAATTGACCGGAACTGCACACACGATACAGATATATTGGCCATAGCTGTCTCGCCAGCCAATAAAGAGAAATACATTTAGTTTATGATTAATATACTGAATTTAGAAACCTTACAAACATGGACAATAAATTAAGCCATTTTTTCCTCAATGACTTCATGCAACTAAATTCTGAAACACTAGATAAAACCTTCTACTAAATAAATCAATCACTCTACTAAATAGATATGTCTATCCAACCTATCATAATAAACTACAGATCTCTTCATCATAGATGGCACTGCAGACAAATACACTCCAATTCACAATAACAGGTTATCATTCAGATATTCATAAAGGACAATATACACAGTATTATTATTATTTTATTGAATTGCAACAATTACAGCTTGTACTCCTTGAGACTATTTAAGTGATATCATCACGTTCCTGCTAAAATACCGAATGTGAAACATAACAGATTCATTAAAAGAGAAAAAAAGATTTGAATATGACAAAATGACAAGACACTAACCATGATTCAGTTGACATAAAACACAATGACATGAGTTAATGTACAGTGAAGGCTGCACCTTTGAACAGTTTCAGAAGCTGTGGTGTGATATTAGTATCGTGGACGAGCGCCTGGCATTCCTCTAGCTTGGGGTGCTGCAACCATGCCTTGCTGTGGGTAACCTGGGCGAGGGACACCTGGGGGGGTCAGCAAACTAGCTCTGCCAGACAGGTCCCTCGCCATATGAGGGCCTGAAGCTGTCTGGCCACTCTGGGTACTTGAGGCAGCACTGATGTTCCTCAAGAGATTCGGGCCACTCTGAATCAGGTTGTCAAGAGCCTTCTGAACACTTGGGTTGTCAAAGTTGATGAGCGCTGTATTCATATTGCCAGACCCTGAGGCTGGGGCTACTGGGGGAGGTTGACCATGGCTTGACATGTGAGTTTGAGGAACTCCTGCTGCAGATGACTGTCCACTACCATTGAGAATGCTGAGGATCTTGGTCTGAAGTTCTTGTTGCTGTTGTTGCTGAAGCAGACCTTCCTCTGGAGGAAGCTGTGAGCTTGGTGCAGGTTCACGGTACCCAACTAAAATACCAAGTTCTACTTTTTAGTAAACGTTATGTGCTGACCCACAATTCTTTTTGCATATACAAGGAATACGAAAGGTTTGAAGATAATCCAGCTAATTGTCATGGATTGGGACAATTCAATACAGCTCACTAATAAGATCCTTCACCAGGTTCGGGCAAATCAATGTTGAAAAATTGAAGATGACTGATAGTATTTTTTATCACACAGAACTGTAAAGAGTAACATGGCAGGTTGAAGATTAAAACTTTATTATTACAAATTCAGGTACAACAAGACATTGCTGTGGTACAAAGAGTAATTCTAAAAGGCTGTAAGTACTCTCATACTTCTATGGGCAAAGGGATGCTCCAACTCACCATCTCCTCCTGCCACTGGTCTCCGTTCTGACTCAATCATCTTGTCCCTCCTATCTCTTAGGTACATGATTATCTTATCCAACTCCTCCAGAGTCAGCTGGCGATTGTCAGCCAGAAGGTTAAGCAAATAGGACACCTCTTTGGAAGGGGGTAAGAATGGGGGTGGCCGTGCCCCTGGGGCAGGTGCGGCTACGGGAGCAGAAGCAGCAGGGGTCGCCGCACCAGCAGCTTTCTCTTTCAGCGACTGCACATATTTCTCAAAACTGCGGCCAACAAGGCTTACAGCATCTTCAACGGGCATATTCCTGTGTTCTGTTGTGCATAGAAGGCAAATGAAGGTTAAAGTTACAGCATTAATAATAACAAACATTGCAATTACATATAAGACTAATAGTAATTGTATTTATTCAAATAACTGACAATAAAATAATACTCCAAAAGAAACCATGAATAAGCATCATGGGAGCAATGACATATCTTCATGCTGACTGGAATGTCATTCCCATGTAAGGTGTCAGTTGAAGCTACCTGCAGCATTATCAGCAAAAATTTCATGCTGTCAAAACATGAACATCATTATGATGTTTCAACGCTTGTTTGCAATTTTGATTTTTTGTTTATCTTTATTCGCGTGAAATTATGTTTGTTAGGTAATGTTAATTTTCGTTAACTTCTTTATGCTCAAATTGTTTGCAGTGCGTTGTTTTCAAAAGAAGGAATTAGTCATTAGTTTGCAACTGTTGTCTGGGTCATCTGGATTAAATCGGTCATTTTGTGTTATACTTGCGAAAATAATTGGAAAACGATAACCAATTCTTTGGATCACTGCGATTATTTTGCTTGTGATGATGGTTTGCATTTAAAAATAGGACATTTCAATGCAGACAAGAAGTTAGTGTCCATTTAACAGGTACTTTAATTCAAAAATTCGTTGTTTTAATTGCATGTGGTCTTCCATACAGCATTTCGTCATTCGTTACTGGACACAGCGTAAATTCAAATTCATGTTTTGGTAGATATATATTTTAAAAGATTCTGATTATTTATGAAATATTACGGTGAATCATTTAATCGGAATTTGAACAAGTTGGTACTTTGGATGCCAGTGTGACCTTTTGCAACCTAAGTAACAACATATTAAGCCAAGTTTGTCTAAATCACACAAGTGTCAAAATGTATTGAAATTTCAGTGATCTATATAATTTTATAGGGTTTATTAACAGCGAGGACTGATTTATTACGGTTGCATACGTGTTAGGCACCGAAATTTTAAAGTACAACGCGAAGTCTTGGATTAGTTGTACTGATGGCAGCGCAATATCACACCAGTTCTTGTCAGTTCCACATACGCGCAGTCCAGTATGCTCTGGTTTGAAGAAGTACAGCTGGGTCATTTCTGATAATGGCCAGTGCTGAACTCATATGGTTGAAAAACTATCTGGAGCGCCTTTATTAATATCATTTATGATTGTCATTTATATTATTTTATTGTCCAGTCGCATGAAAGTTGAATACAACTGAAAGGTGTGTTGAGATTATATTTTTTTTACCAAACATTCAAACACCATCACAATCACTCTTAATGTTGTTACATTTTCGGTAATATTGTTCGGTAATATGTTAGTAAATTCACGGTAGTTGATTCCAAATTCACGACAATCAGTCAATGTAAAGGGATGATGATCTGCCAGCATTATGATGAATGAAAAGAAATTTCATACTGCAACATGTAGATGACTAGAACTGTGACAAACATTCCAACACCATGACAGATATACCCTATCAACCAAATGTTATTGCTATTCTTAATCCTTAATGAAGGACAGCTTGAATGTATCTACTATCTATAATGCTTTTGTACACTTATATTGGCAATCTTGGTTACTGTGATTATATCAGCACTGCAGGTCTTGCCATATGATGACACCACAATAAGTGTCACAGAATCTTGTTTTATGATGCAGTAAGCAATATAATAATTGTGATCCCAGCCAGCAGTGTTCATTCTAGTTGCTAAATATTTAAGGCTCTGTGGATTCACAGACTGATAACTAGGGCCATTTCTAAAAATACCAAGGAAACAAAGACAACAAGAAGACAAGGTCATCAATATCCCCAACAATGGCAAAATACTCTTCATGAATATGTCTACTAGTTATGATTATGTCAAATGTTTTAGAGTGTATATAGCAAAGTGGAAGGACAGTATTGAAAGGTTTTTAAGTTCTGCTTCAGAAAGGAGCACTACCACCAAATTCACACTTGTTGCCATGGAAACGCAAAAACTATTTTATTCAGAATTCCAAAAGTACCTAAAGGCACCAGTACACCACCAGATCTATCTATGTGCCAAGTTTGGTGAAGAAATATTGAATGGTTTTAAAGTTCTGCTCCAGAAAATAGCACCAACACCAATTTCAGTACAAGTCAAACTTGTTGCCATGGAAACGAAAAAATATTTTATTCAGAATTCCCAAACTACCAAAAGGCACCAGTTCACCACTAGACCTATGTACGTGCCAAGTTTGGTGAAGAAATAGTGAACGGTTTGAAAGTTCTGCTCCGGAAAAGAAGAATGTGCATGGACGCACACAGGCCCGCAAAACGCAAAACGTGTTGCGGGGGATGAAACCCTTTCCAGAAATGAACAGATAGTCTGGGGTGATGCCAGGCCTCTGGAAGGTTGCAGAGTCACAAAATCTTGAATGAGTCCACTATTAGACTGGATCTGTTGCAACAATGTTGTCAGTTTCCATATTTTGCTTTAACTATAAGTGCTCTTGACTCACTGAGAAAATGTTGATGATCATACATGAGGATAAGGACTAGACCCACATCCAAAAGAGACTATCAAACTGTTCCATGTGTCTGTTGGCACATCCATTTTACAACCAAGTTCCTAACAGCCTGACTTTGTTTATTTCCTTTGGTCCATCTTTCAGGTTTATGACGATGTCACAGAATGGAATGGAGTCTGCTTAACTTGTACAATCATTCTTTCTAAATGTTATTACTAATGTTTTTTTAACTGGGGGAGTTATGTTCAAAATATGAAATCAGTCATATTTGACACTTCGCACTCAAAAGCTGCACCTGTTATTTCTTTGGTCATACTTAAAAAAGACACAACTATGCTGCAATGCTAAGCTCTAGAATGAACACTGAGCCAAGTGACACATTCATTCATAGTCTATAACAATAATGGAGAATTTTGAGGCCACTGTGCCCGGGAATCACACTATCATAAATACATGACTACCTTCATAACCAGCACCCAGAAGAATCTCTTACCTTGTGGGCTTCCATGCAAAATGTTCAGGGTGAGAGAGTGATGAATTTCATTCTGACTGTTGATGACAATGGCAAACAAGCCTCCACGATGTGAAATATCCTCAATCTGCTGAGCCAGTGTTCTATCTTCTGGGATCACAACTGTATCTGTGATGAGGTTCAAAGTCTTCACCTGATGTTCAATGGTCTCAGCGTATGTTCTGCAAAAGCCACACAAGGTTGGCAATGTAAGGGAGCTAACTCATTCAGTATATTGGCAGTGACAATGACCATTTGACTTTCATGCCTAATAACAGCAAATTAAAAGTCAAATGATATCAAATGTTTCTCTGTACTCCTAAACGTTACACAATTGCAAACAAGATATGTCGAAATAACCCATTTTAGCCTTACTGGGCGTTCAGGATATCCAGAAAAGCATGTTTATTCATAAAATCTGGCAAAAATAGCTGCTGAAAACTACAGATCAGACTATAGATGGCAATTAGGTCGCTCAGCTAGGTATGATGATGGACCGTTGACTGACCTGGCATGAAATGCATGTACTGCCAACAGGCACAAGGGGTCATCTCAAAGATAATTTTTGCTTTTTCTTGTGTTGAATATGTCTCATCTATTGATTAACATCTAACGTGTCTTTCTTTCACAAAGTTAATGTTGAGATATGTAAAAGAGTATGATACCCATACAAAAGCTTCAATCAGCCATCATATTAAATTTTTCTAAATATATAGATCGACAGGACTGGATATTATTTGTAAATTGTTATGACATGCCGTTTACTTCCCCAGTTTAATTCCCCTTAAGGATGATCTTATCTCAACTGTTACCTCTATCCCCCCAACCAGTCTGCGACACCCGTCCTGGTTTTGCTTTTGAGATGACCCCTCCTACCTGTTTGTTTTTATAGTGATGGTGAGACTCAATGGTAGCTACATCATCAATGGTTTCAGTATTAAATTTATTAATTTTTACGTCAGCTATCGTTTATAATGAAGCTCAGTCTAATTTCAAAATGGGCATTTAAAAAGTGTCTTTTGTAATACAGTATCATTGCACACTAATTTGCATAAAGCCATGGTCTGTTCCAAATAAGTTGCTTTGGACTTATTGCATTGCTCATTTCTGCACTAACCTCTCCTCAGTAAAGTCCTTTTATTACGTTTCCTATCTCCCTACCACTGAGACTGTAGTTAGGCTGAACTTAGTTTACCAGATACTTCACATATTAACTGCATAACTTGTAGATATCAATGTGAAAAAAAGAAGGGCTTTTTCTGACAGTACTTCTGTTTTTGTTTTAACTATAGTTCATTTTGAAACAATAGCAATACTTGATATAGGAAAAGTGATAATCACATAAGCTGGGACTATGAAACTTGGATTTCAGTCAAAGACTCCCCTCAATGACTCGAAGACATTTGGATGTATGTATACTGTGCGAGAAGCATGTTTGTGATATTTTCAAGACTAGGGTCACAGCATGAAGGAGCATAGCACAAACCTACCGGAGTTTGTTGGTCATGATAACAACAACACACTCAGCCGGGGCTGGTGGTGGCTTCCTCTGTGGTGGAGGGTCATAGTATGGGTCCCTGTATGGATCCCTGTAAGGGTCAGCAGCATATGGGTCACGTCTGAAACAAACTCAGTGTCTCAGCAAAAGATGGTTTGAAAGGATGGCAAGCTGATTCAACACACCAAGTGAAGTACCTTGTACTAATTTCTGATAATTATATCTGTGTTAATGATGACTCACCAGTGTTCTAAATTAAGCATCCTTAGCTCAGTGGTCTTGTCACCACCATAATGCTAAAGGTTAACGATTTAGAGGTTACTTAAGTTTAAGGCTCATAGGATCAAATTTCAAGATCCTCTGGGCAATACAGGTAGCAATGCCAAACGATATAACATTTAAAACATATATCAGACAATTCTTTCATTTGGTACTGCTTATCTGTTACACATGCTGTAAACTAATGAAAAATGACATTGCACTGAGAAATGCTTTGTTTGGACAAGTTATTTTTTCAATAAACTAATGCACATAACATTATAATGTATAATATTCTCTCCACATGTACAAATTCCTGGTGAGAATATTGGTGGACCCCAGATATGATCATATGACTCTGGTCTGTCTAGTCCAGCTTTGATCATCTATCAGATGCCATGATATAACTCAAATATTGCTAAGAGTAGTAGTGATGAACAATACCCATTTACTCACTTGCAAATACAAAAATGTTTTAACACTTAATAAGCTACAGAAGGGTATTGTTGCAGTAAACATCCCTCACATTTTCTTTCGATGGATATGTGCTCACATTTTCACTTTAACCGGGTATCCTAATTTTTCATTGAGTAACCACATGTATTTTACTCGCTTTTACCTAACACTACTGAGTATTGTTCGAAACGATATTCTGATAAGGCACTATATCAAAAGGAAAAAAAAATATTTGATTGATGAGTATGGGTTAGTGCCAGTGACAACCTTCCTTCAGTTATTTCAGCATTCACAGGATGCAAAGAAAGGCTGCACCAGTGCTGTGGAAATGTGTTGCAATGAAACCTAAGAATCCGCACAACAAACTGCAGCAATACTGAAGACTGGTCATTTTGAACCCCCACTGACGGGAATTTCACTGCATGTTGTTCAATGCTATGCTCAGTAATTTTCCAGCTACATGATGGTAGCCTGTCAATAAGATCAGACAATCCAGTGATCGATATCATGAGTAACAATCCATAATGTCAGGTATGATGACACACAAGCCGCCAAACCAGCAATTCTGATCAACTATGTCATTCTCTTTAACCAGCAAATGTTGCTGGGACCAATGTCAACCTAGAATCCCCACAGATGGTGCGAACAATTACGTCCTGTCATGAGCAAAATAATCAATAAGTATGAATATGATACTAACACAATAAAGAAAACAAACAGAAGGACAAGTAACAGGCAAGGTATTTCAGCTGACAGAGTATGAAGGAATCGTGAGTCACCTGTACGGGTCATCTCTATATCTGTCATAGTAGGGGTCTGGTGGTGGTGGTCGTCTATAGGGGTCATCATAATAAGGGTCTCGAGCGTCTCTGTAAGCAGAACAAGACAACATTGACAGGCACATCAACATGGATTCTGCAGATTAGCAACCATTTAGTCACTTTATGGATTGCTGGGTCCTTATTCTCGAAAAGTTCGTAGCCCTAAGAATTCTTAACTTTGATCATAGCCAATGTGTTAAGAATGGGCTTAAGAAGTTCGTAGGGCTACGAACTTTTCGAGAATAGCTTGCCTGGTCTCTATTTCAGTTTACAGAATGATATTTTCAAATCTATTTGCTCACTATGTGTAAATGCCTTCACAATATAGTAAGATATTGGTAATATATTTAGTCACAAGTGGGACTAATAAGAGCCAAAACATTAGGTTGTCCTTTAAAGGCACAATGTCACACATTTTCAACAATATTTTAAACTATATTATGCATATTTGGGCATATGCACTCCCTTTAGCTTCCTATTGATACAATAAAAGCCTTATGATCCCTTACAATTTGCCTGAAATCGATAATTGAAACTTCGAGGCGAACAGCTTCCAAACAGAGAACACTTGCCATATATGGAATGTAAACAATTGCTCTGTACATCGAAAACTGGAGCACGTGGTGTTGTCGGTGTTTGCCGAACTGGTTTCAATCACAAGTTGCATTACAGGATATTCGTAAAGAGCGCTCCAAGGGACATAATTCTATGGTGTTTGCTTGAAATAATGTTTGACCGGTAGAGGGCACGAGAATCGAATGAATGCAACGCTGCATTAATTCATTCGAACTTTTTAATTTAATATTGTAATCTGAATACGTAATTTGTTTGGAATAAATTATATGGTAGCTTCCTTGAGGGCTGGTTGTATTATTGAGAGAAATGCATTATTATATTTTTGGACATTGTGCCTTGAACTATGCTTATATTGAACTCTCATCCTTAATTCCTTAAATAAAGCCACTTTGGTAAAGATAAGATTTCAGCTCAAACAGTTGTCCTGATCTACTTTTTCAGTGTCATGTTGTTAATAATGCATGAGTCACTCAGTCATTTCAGCTGAAGTAACATGCACATTAAAAGTTCAGATGTTCAAGGCACATCTACAAGGAAGGGAGTTAACTCTTAAGTCCTGAAGTCAGTGTCGTTTAACATGGTAAAACAGGCAATGAATAAGCATGGAAGACGAACAACAGCAAATGAAGTGTTAAATGACAAAAAAAAAAGGTGGGAAAAATCATATCAAAATGTTTCAGTATTAAAACAATAGAATTACATGAATTTGGCTGTTTAGGATATTAATCCTGACTAAAATTTATATTTTATACTTATCCTGACTCATGCTTTTTGCTTGTCGCCTTCTTCTTGCAAATGATAGTGGAACACTTGAATCCCTTTTTGAAGCTCCCTTCAAAAAAGCGGACATAAAATCACTCACCCAAGGTTGCCTCCCTTTACTGTTTTGGCGCCAAAATCAGTCAAATGATCGCCCATGCTTGTCACTCTCTCCATTCATGAGCCTGACAACCGGATTTATAGGAAAATCCAGAGTGCCATGAGAGGAGGTTGGTAGGGCTGACCTCATGAGTCAGCATAAGTATAAAATATCAAATTTAGTCAGAAAATTACATATTTTTCCTTATCCTGACTCATACTTTTTGCTTGTAGAATCCGACGGAACCGGTGGTGGGTCAGGCAACTTCTGGATTCATAGGTTGCTGATTTACGTCCTGCATACCACTAGTGGGAACTTCTTATGGCACTTGTGCTGATCCTTTTCTTCCAGCTTCCTCTAATGAATCTGGGGGGACCACAACTTGTCAGATTCTCTGGAACTCTTCTCCTGACATTATGTGTGGATTTATGCAACTCCATGTCTAATTGCTCGCATCAAGTGGAGAAGCGACCCTTCTTCATGTACGAGTAACTCCTTTACAAGTACAGGGTCTATCACTCATGCTGGTCTGCCCTAGATGTGCGCATGGACGCTAAAGCTCTAGCTCTCCAGAGCATTGGCTTTTACAAGTCACGTGAAAAAGGGTGAGATCCATCTCAGCACCTTTGTGGAACTGTCAATTGTTGTGCTACAACAAGAGGCCCAAGCTGGTGAATGCCGGAGACGTCCTCGGTAGCAAACACCGTCTCCGACTTCCAAAAGCAGCCCTCCATTATCATTGAGATGGAGCAGTTTCCATGCAGAGCGAGTGTCGATGCCAGAGCTCTGACTTCATGAGGGTTGGAGGCTCGTGGAGGCTCAAGTCATGCTGCTTTGTAGGCCCTTAAGATGACGGCTCTCATCCAAATGGATATTGTTGTACGTGAGACTTCTGTGGTTGTCTCCGTGGATAGAGGGATGAAAAGGCGCTTGAATTTTCGTCTCCTCGTGTTAGTTCTTTGTAGGTGGACTTTAATGCTCTGACTGGGTATAAGGATAGATCCTGGATATCCTGTGGCCAAAGGACTGTAGAGAGTGCTGGGATGTGGAACTGTGTCTGGTTGACCGGGCAGCTGGTTCTTTGCTATGAAATCCCATCTCAGTCCCAGATGTACGATGTTACGATGTGCATCAAATCGTATTCGTTCAAAGTCCAGAGCATGTATCTCTGACATCCGTGCTGCTGTTGCCAAAGCAATCAGGAACAGAGTTTTGTGCGTTAAAAACTCGTTGGATGTCATTTCTATTGGGTGGTAAGCGTCACTGGTGAGATGCTGCAAGACTACGTTGAGATCCCAAGCAGGCGCCTTAAACTTCTCTTGTTGAGCGTAGTAGTGCCAGTATCTCTGCTACTTTGGTCAGCTTAACACTCGTCTTCATGGTAATAACCGTGCTGAGGGCCGCTAGGTATGTAGAGAGTGTTGAACCTTTTAACCGCCTCGTTTGTCTTAGATAACATAGGTATTCCACCACTTGAGGATGCGTTGCTTTCATCACCGTGAAGCCCTTCATCAAAGCGTATTCCTCAAATCTCTGCCACTTGTCGTCCTACAAGTTGCGGGTTGATCTAAGTAGAGCTAGTGTCACTGCTTTCACTGCTCTAGCGGAATATCCTCTTTTCTTCAAGCAAGTCTTGATATGCTCCATGCGTGTAACTGGAACACTGTGGGATTCCCGTGTGCTTGCTTGGTGTGCGGATGGATGAGTAGGTTGGGCCACTCTGGGAGTTGCAGGGTTGGACTTCCGAGTTCTTGCATGAGGATGGGAAACCACACCCTCACCGGTCAATAGGGCGCGACCAAAATCAGTTGCAGATTCTTCGTCTGCTTGATTTTCTGCAACACCTGCGGTATTAGAGCTTGTGGATCGGGAATCAGAGAGACGAATGTTGGTAGTTGTTTGTTGTACTTTGTGGCAAACAGGTCTATCAGCCCAGATCCTATCATCTGTATGATGTATCAGAAGGCTTCTGGATGAAGCATCCATTCCGTTGGGGATGGTTGTGCTGGACGAGATAGGGCGTCTGCTCACATTCTTGGCTCCCGGAATGTGGCATGCTTTTATGTAGATGTTCAGGTCGTCTATTATGCTGAACAGATGAAAGCTGAGATCTTGAAGATTTTTTGATCTTGTTGATTCTTGTTTGTTGATGTAGAACGCTACTGTGGAGTTGTCCGTATGGATCATCAGCTGTGCGTTCCTTAGTATGCTGGACCAGTGTAGTAAGGCGTTTATTACTGCTTTCATCTCGAGCATGTTGATGTGCAGGCTCTGCTCCTGACTCGACCGTTTCCCTGCTGCCACTTCGTTGTCGAAGTGAGCTCCCCATCCTTGAAGCGATGCATCTACGTAGAGATGAGTGCTGCACTCCGGCTCTGATAAATAGGTTCCTCCGCAGACATTCGACTTTCGAGTCCACCATAGAAGATACGGTTTCAGACTGTCCGGTAACACGAAGGGGTCCAGACTGTCGAGATGGGCGTTCACAAACACTTGTAGTGGGCACAGTTGTAGTCTTCCTCTGCGAGTCATGTATTGAGCTGACGCGAGAAGACCGAGTAGGCTCTGCCAACTTCGTCGTGGTAACGGTGAGAGTAGTGCTTGAGATATCATGTGTTGTATCTTGACCCAACGCTCCTCTGGGACGACTATGCGATTCGCCGAAGTGATGAGCCGCATTCCTAGGAATTGAAGATCCTGTGTTGGTTCTAGTTCCGACTTGATGAGATTTACTAGCCATCCTCGTTGAGTGAGAAGCCTGATGGTGAAGTCTAGTTGCAGTCTGAGTTGACTGGGATCTTGATGAATTTGAATCCCGCCGTCCAGGTAAAACGCACTGCTTAGACCTCGATGATGTAGATATGTGATGATGGGCTTTGTCACTCGAGTAAACAACCAGGGGGCTGACGATATTCCAAATGGTAGCACCTTCCATTGGAAATGACGTCCGTTAAAGAGGAATCGTAGGTATTTCCTTGAGTCCGATAAATCGGGATGTGAAGATACGCATCCTGTAGATCTATGCTGGCGAGTTGTCGCAGCTGAGGAAGATGTATCATCCTGAACTTTGCGGGTCTGCGTAGATAATCTTGGTTGAATTTCCTCATGTTGTAGATGAGTCGGAACTTTTCCTTGGAATGTTTCTTTGGTACTAGGAAGATTGGGGAATAAAAACTGGGCATGATGAGCTCCTGTTTTATCTCTTCGACTGCCTTTTCCTCGAGTAGAGTTGTGATGGCATCGTGTAGTTTCTCCATCTGGTTGGCAGCGTAGATGTGGGCCAGAGGGTTGCTTATAAGCGGTGGTACTGCGTTGCAGATGTTCACCCACTGTCGAAGGTTGTATGGGAACGGCTGGGGGTGGAAGACTTCAGTCGTTCCGAACCCATTCATTAGCGTCTAAATCCTCTGGCACCTCCGGGTCCTCGGCTTCTTCCAAGGTTACCTCTGGGAGCTCTGGTTGGGCGACGAAAAGAGTCTCTGCCTCCTTTGGAGTTGTCAAACTTCTTTTCCCTGGCTCTCTGTATCCCTGCGAATTTCGACTTGCCGGAGTAGCGTTTTGACGTCTGACGAATAACACTGGCTAGTGTGTCGATGGACTTGATCATCATTACCTCCCTTGACTCTTTCGTAACTTCTTTGGCTACATCATCAATTTCCCCTGCGAAGATAGACGATGCTGACCAAGGAGCTCTGTACAACGTCTTGGTGAACCGCTCACTCCAGTTGCAGGAAGACAGCTAACCTTGTCTTCTCAGGAGCTTCAGGCCCGCTGACTTGGATGCCAGATGTTCGGACATAAACTGATGATCCTTCTTTTGGGTCAGCAATGCAGAGTAAATCATCCGATCCTCTTCAGAGGTCGAGTTCCTGAACTTAGCGATGAGGGTTTCATTAATGGCTCTTGATTTGGTGAGACCAAAGAAGGTACGTCTGGTAGCTGTATCTAGTTGTGCCAGCTTCTTATCCTCTATCTTATAAGTTCTAGATCGGGAGTCGTTGATGATTTTGTAGTTCTCATATCTCTGGGGCCTTCATGAAGAGTTCCATGTGATGAAGTGAGAACTTCTTGGCGTTGAACGGCGGGGCGCTTTGGCTCTGGAACTTAGTTGCCTTCCCTAAGGCTGTGCTCAGTCACATCCGAGACAGGATCGATGGGTGGAAGGGTGAGCGCATCAAAATCTTATACGTGAGTACTTCTTTATCCTCTTTAGAAGGTGACGCAAGTTCCAATCCATTAGCAATCCAAGATTTGATCTCTGTATCGGAGTATATGATTCCGCCATCATCTTCAGATCTAATGGCCTCTCGGTCTGAAGATCGTTGCCGCTGTGAATCCCTTCCTGAAGACCTGCGTGAAGGTGACCGGTTGGGATAAGGTTCCTCCCTGGAGTCTTGAGGCGTATCTCTGCACCTTTGTGAAGGTGTAGATTCTCTTCTACGGGATGAGGAGTGCCTGCGTGCAGGCTCCTGATGGTTGTCCGTGATCTGAGGTCGAAGATGATCCTTGTGATCTGCTTCTGCGCTGCTCCAGAGAACGTCTAGTTCTGCTCCTGCGTGAAGGCTCCTCGATAGGCTCTTATGGAACATCTACAGCAGTCTCATCGTTATCAGGGCTGCCAGGTTCTCTGGAAGTTGCCCAGATGATCGTCGAAAGTGCGGACCCTTCACGCAGGCTTCAATCTTCAACCAGATGCTGCAGACTGCTTGTCCTTCGTGCAGGCTTGTCGTAGATGGGGTCTTTGCCGCAGCCTTCTCCTGCATTAAGCGTCGTTCCATCAGCTCCAACATCTGCTCAGTGAACTGCTGCATGAAGATACCGGGTTGAAGTTCTGCGACGACGGCTGCTGCTGCTGCTGCTGCAGAGATGACGACGCATCTGAGAGGGATGAGGCTTCTTCCAAGGACCGCTGTACTTGTGAAGAACTGCCATCTCTGGTACCTGATGTCTGCGTTGATAGATCATCTGTCTGTGCTGTGATGGCTGCTGATGTCGCTGTAGAAGAGGATATCTTCTTCTTAACTGCTACTTCAGGAATGAGGATAGGTGGATCGTCATACACGTCTACTTCGTCTGGAGGGATGATCTCTGCAGAGAAAGTGCTCGTCTTCTGTGCTGCACCGTGGGAAGACTTCGCCGAAGTCTTATCTGCAGTCGACTTCTTTTTCTGTGAAGACGATGACCTGGTCTTCTTAGACTGCGACGAGGCAACTTCAGATGTTGACGATCTCTTCCTGGAGCCGGAGCTCCCCTCTGCCACAGCAACATGCTCCATAGTAGCGACCGGCAAACCACTGGAATGGTGAATCTCAGCAGCAAACAATAAAAGGTTATCAGCGCATTCACTCGGTTTAGACATGACTTGTAAATGCCTTCTAGACCAGTCCTTAGCACGTCTAAGAATGGAAAATAAATAATTATTGAATTCAATTTCAGATAAATGCTGACAAAGTTGACAGCGAAAGCTGGAAGAACATGTAGAAGTGCAATTAGGACATAAAAGATGAGGATCAGCAGCAGACAACCAGTACCTGCAACGAATGCAAGTTTTCATCAGTTGTAAACAAGATTAAATATCATGTCAACAACGTGAAAAAAACAGATGATTTAGACAAAAATGTCAAACCATATTGCTAATATATCTTCCTAAATGCTGTATACAGCTAAATTTTACGGTAAAGGCCTAAAATTAAAAGGACATAGTGCCGTATAGGGACCCAGGCGCTCTCACTACCGTCCTCTAGGGCGAAGAAGGAGAGAGTGACAAGCATGGGCGATCATGTGACTGATTTTGGCGCCAAAACAGTAAAGGGAGGCAACCTTGGGTGAGTGATTTTACGTCCGCTTTTTTGAAGGGAGCTTCAAAAAGGGATTCAAGTGTTCCACTATCATTCGCAAGAAGGAGACAAGCAAAAAGCATGAGTCAGGATAATTGTATACTTATCCTGACACAATACACTGCAAACTCCTGCTTCGCCTTGATCACAGAACCTGAAACATGCCTCTCATATCTGGGGTGCCTGTTGCACATGGTTACCAATTAGAGTTATCTGTCCTTCATATCTCCATACCCTCTCATCAACACGGAAGTTGATATCTTAACCCGAGACAACAAATTACACCAGTTATGGCAGAATAGGAGGCAAGAATTGCAATCAGTCCTGGTGAGAATATATCACTCTCATTTAAACATGGAACAAAATACAAATGTATAGAACATAATTTAATGACGTCCAAGGATATAATTCCCAAACCACAAAGATAGGTGTATCCTCTTGTGAGATGAAAAGGAAGCGAAGAATCACTTGGTAACCATGGATGACCCAAGATAGAAGAGGCATGTTTGGGTTGTCTGTCATATGGTCAAAGTGAAGGAGGAGCTTGTAATCTGTTCTGTCAGGATACAACATAATTGCATTGTCTCTCTGCACGTCGCTCCACAAGCGATGTCACTCAGCACTTATAGCATAATACAAACATTCTCCCATTCAGCAGGCATTCTTGATGAAAATGAACAAAGTCTTGAGAGCTACCATGGCCACTTCCTTCACAGAAGGAATTGTTCTCGTATTTGTACAATTGACACTGCCAACTTTGCACTGGTGTTGCATGATGACATCATTCTCAATTTATTTGTAAATCAAAGACCTACAGTGAGGTAAATATTGTAATTCATGCAGTCCAGAACAAAAATGGACATGATGAGATCAATATTTCATCAGACTGAAACAAAAATAGTTGATGCTAACATTGACTGTAGTTACTGCCTTAGCGATACTAGATGCGACTAAATATTACTCCATAGTTATAACATGCACCACTGCAAAAGTTGAACACATGTGAGTGAGTGAGTATGGTTTTACGCCGCTTTTAGCAATATTCCAGCAATATCACGGCGGGGGACACCAGAAATGGGCTTCACACATTGTGCTCATGTGGGGATTTGAACCCTGGTTTTCGCCGTGACAAGCGAACGCTTTAACCTCCAGGCTACCCCACAGCCCCCTTGAACACATGTAATCTTCTATCATTATGAATCTGAATGATGACAGAAGTTGATCTGTGTGATGCAAAACATGGTGGTCATGAAACTACATGTAGTTCTCCGACATGACCAAAATTGAGGAGAGGTATAACGAACTGAATGCAATGTTATAAATGTTAAACTACCTCTGAACTGTAAAAATTATAAACCTGATAGAAATGCCAAATGATATGCCATCTACATCAAGATTGGGCAAAGAACGCCAGTCACATTCTCAGAAATGCCTATAAACAATTCATGCCACGTTACAACCAAAATAACCAATTTTATATTAAATATCACATGCTGAAATACTCGTTTGTTTAGATATGATCACGCTCACTGAACTCAAGTCAAAACACAGAGCAATGACACAAAACCTAGTCTTGCTCGAAGAGTTGACCTAACAAATTCCACAACACTACTCGAGTTACTGCAACCTCCAGTGTCTCAAATTGGGATTATATATTTGTCAATTTCCTCCCTACAGAAATGTAATTTTTGGAGTAAAATTGATATTTTATACTTATCCTGACTCATGCTCTTTTTTGCTTGTCTTCTTCTTCTTGCAAACATAGGAACACTTGTATCTCCCTAATTGAAGCTCCTTCAATTTAAAAATCACTAATTAGTATTCACCACGAAGTTACCTCCTTTCCATTGCTGGAACGGTAGGGCCTACCTCTACCCATGTGCCTCATACTCTCCCTTCATATACTGAGCAGCCCAAACATCTAAGAATTTACAGGAAATCCAAAGTGTTATTTGGGAGGGAGGAGTTGCTCTCTACCATGAGTCAGGATGGGCATAAAATATCAATTTTACATGAAACTACATGTAGTTCTCCGACATGACCAAAATTGAGGAGAGGTATAACGAACTGAATGCAATGTTATAAATGTTAAACTACCTCTGAACTGTAAAAATTATAAACCTGACAGAAATGCCAATTGATATGCCATCTACATCAAGATTGGGCAAAGAACGCCAGTCACATTCTCAGAAATGCCTATAAACAATTCAGGCCACGTTACAACCAAAATAACCAATTTTATATTAAATATCACATGCTGAAATACTCGTTTGTTTAGATATGATCACGTTCACTGAACTCAAAACACAGAGCAATGACACAAACCTAGTCTTGCTCGAAGAGTTGACCTAACAAATTCCACAACACTACTCGAGTTACTGCAACTCAGTGTTCAAATTGGGATTATATATTTGTCAATTTCCTCCCTACAGAAATATATTTTCTATTTGTGTAATATGCATGGACTGTACAAATGTTGTCAAGCCATATTAACAGAAATTCCATGGTAGATCAACCATTGCATTTGTCTGCTCACAGATGAAGTGAGGTTCCATACCTTGGTGGTGGTGGAGGTGGCCTTGCTGGGTCTCTGGGTTCTCGGTACGGGTCTCTGTATCGGTCATCATAAGGATCTCTTACTGGTGATCGATCTCGAGCAATAGGGGGACCTCTCACTGGGGGCTCACGTTCCCGCTCTCTTGGATAACTGCAAACATAACTTCAGCTGCTTAGTTTCATCATTTGTCAGGAGATTTGAGAATTAGTATCAACAAAACTAGCAGGGAAACAACACAACACACTATAATAACATCTATTCTGTTTCAGATTTGAGCCATGTTTTTTCTGCTGCCCTCCATTAAACTTGCACATGTAAAATTCTTAGATGATTTGAAATATGGTAGTGTGTGATCTGGGACTGGTCTAATTTTTATTGTTCAACAACCGCACTCAACAACAGCAGACTGTAAATAATCAAGTCGGGACCAGACAATCCAGTGATCAACAGCATGAACAGTGATCTATGTAGCTGGGATGCCATGTGTCAGCAAGCAAAACCACTCAATCCTGTTACTTGTCTCTTATGACAAGCATGGGTTGCTGAAGACCAATTCTAACCTGCTTCTTCGCAGGTTGATTATATTTGTGAAAAGACTACTGAACGATGGTGATTGTCAATGAATGAATGAATGAATGAATGAATGACAAGCAGTACATGTTCATGTTTTTAGGCAATCAATTTTCATTTGATAATTATGTCACATTTCATGACATTCTACCGTGTTCAATGTGTGTATTACCATGTAGTACATGAAACCGTGCAGTATAGGACGTCAACACTCACCCTGCTGGATGTTCTGCAAATGGAGGAGGAGAACGCCTGCGCTCCCGAACCATGACACGGTCTCGTCGACCATCTGCCGCCATCTTCACGTCTGAAACATTGCAGTTAATCATTAATTTTTTAATTTCTCGCAAACAAAATGATAAAGGGAAATAACATAACTGCTAGGTTCAGGTTATTAAAACAGTTCCATCTTTTGCTGACAATCTGACAAGTTGCACATACATATAATCACACATGACTAAACGATGCACTTATTATCAATTTGACACATTTCATGAGTATTAATGCTATGAGAAAAATAATTTTCACAACTTTTATTTACCTAGTATTGTTTTCTTTGTGTGTAAAGAGAAACCAAACAATTACTTTTCCCTATTATCATAACATTGGGCATTATTGGGCAATATACATTCAAACAACAAGGATATAATGGTAAAGGCTTAACACAAGAGAGCAATAACACATGTGATATTGAGAATTTCCAGCAGTCTTCAGTAATTAGTTAGCACTGGGTGTAGTTGACTCAAGCAAGAGAAATACCAAAGATTTAATGTGTAGCTTGACAAAGCATAACAACAGTGCATATGTATTAAATATGTTTGGCAAAATTCTCATCGACAAATAATACTGACTGACTGAGTTTAGTTTTACGCCGCTTTTAGCAATATTCCAGCAATATCACGACGGGGGACACCAGAAATGGGCTTAACACATTGTGCCCATGTGGGGAATCGAACCCGGGTCTTCGGCGTGACGAGCCAACGCTTTAACCACTAGGCTACCCCACTGCCCCTCGACAAATAATAACTAACTCTGATTAGGTAGAGCTTGTTTTCTACGTGGAAACAATGTAAATTTAGAGCAATTTCCTTCAGCACTGTTTTTTCAAAGATTACGCATGCCTGTTTTACAATTACTATACAACTGATGATCCAGACAGGAAAATACTCACTGAGAAGTAGTACACTGACAGCTAATAAAATACTGGTAGCTGCTGCTACACATTGGTATAAATACTTACTACTGTCGCTTTCAGCAATATTCTGAGCAATGTTTGAGCAATATCACGGAAAACCACTAATGTGCTTCACACATTGTACCTATGTGGGGAATCAAACCCAGGTCTTCGATGTGACTAACAAACACTTTAACCACTAGACTCAAACATTTACTAAATTCCACTTGTCTGCATAGTATTAAAATTTGAGGACTAGTATCAGTACTTTTATAATTGAGTTTTGCAATATAATTTCTCAACAAATACATGTAACAATATGACACATGGGCTAGTTATTTCAGTCTTAGTTTTCCATTTCTATCCATTTTTCTTATGATCTTTAATCTTTTGCAAATTAAATAGATGAACTGAATTTAAACATTCATATAATGCTTAATTTTAATTGACATTTTATAACTATTTCAACTCTAAATTGCTTTATCGAACAATTAACCCTGCTTGACGAAGAATTATTGAAAGATCAATCTTTTAAAAATCATCATTTATTACTTAATATCAGTTACAAATAGAGCCAAGGCACTGGTGCTCACTAGATACATTCGAAGTAAGAGAGAATGTTTTATAGTTTCTAACTTGAACCACAGGTCCAAGGCCTGAGTAAAGACTTTCTGTTTATACCTAAAAGTGGAAATAACTGAAAATAATGTTTAGGGACAATATACTAATATAGGATAAAGTAGGTATTATAAAATCTTTAGCCTTCCAGTGTAAGTGGTTGAAATAAGGACATCATAATCTCAAGAGTAGTATTCATATCATCTGACAGTAAACATTACGAAACAGTATGGCTACAACTGGAAAAATCATTGCACTAGATCCTGAAACTCTAAAAGTAGAAATCCAAATGTGTTTATAAAGTATGTAACCTTAGACAGGTTAACATGGGGTATTCCATACCACAGTTACAGTCTGTATGAGTAATACTGAAAGATGGACATCGCCCCTTTCTCTATTGCCCATCTATCCAAAAAGATGCACATGTGAAACAAACAACATTTTTCATCGCTTTTGGGAAATAATGCCGTACAATCTTGGCCATCTATTCGATATTCCACTGTTTTTCCTGTTCAGTGTGCACATTTCAAATCAACAACAGTCAAAATACTTTTCAAAATGCTATCTGGAACGGAAAGAGCCATTGATAATTTGTTTCAAAAAGCTTTGGAAGAACTGACATCTGACTGGCTAATGGGCACTTCACATTGCCAGAGGTTTCTCTGACAGGACCTGTACACAAATACGTCAAAAGACATGTGTGTAGCAGTAATGAGCACTAAGATCAAATTATCATGAGAAAGCACAACCACAAGTCTGTCAGTCTGAGACTAATGATAAGAGAGATTGACTTGTTATTCTCCTAAAATCTACTTTTTGTAGAATAAACTGCTGATCTTAAATCATCTCAGGTTACAGATGCCATGCTATGACAAAAGTTCACATGGACCTTTGGCTTTTTTACTGTCTTATGCCACACTGAGCAATATTCCAGCTATATGGCGGTGGACCTTTGGTCCAGTTGAACTTACTATAACAACCCAAAGAATCAATGATTGATGTACATTTTCAAGAAAAATAGGTATCTGATATTCTAGATATGCAACATAAGAGAGAAAGAATTCAAAGAATGGCAATCTTGTGGCTTACCTCAAAATTCTTCTTGTAAAAAAACAAATTTCCTTGTAAGAAACAAATTTCTTCCTATTCTTAAGCGCAATATGTGACGAGCGAACGCCTTAACCACTAGGCTACCCCACCGCCCCATGTGTAAGAAATGTTAAGTTGTTCACTGATGAATCAGAAAAGCAACACGCCATGAAATTTTCCCTCTCTTTAACATACAAATGCAAACCCACAACTACACACACGTATTAACGTCCGCTCACACACGTTAGCTCATAGGTGGAAGAAAACTTCTTCAAAAGGCAGTTTTAGCAATTGTTTTAACAACATAAGAAATAAATCAACAACAACATCTTTTGTATTATTTTATTGTAAATATCATACATGGACATTATCTAATGACTGCCCTTTCACGATGTTGGAGGACATAGTCACAGTTATTATGACTGCTTCTGACTATCAGTCATATGTTGTTATCGCAATACTGGTGACATTCTGTGTCACGTTTTAAACACTTACATATCTGAAATAAATATCACCATTACATGCTGACAAGACTTATTAACAAAGCTGAGTATCAACCAATACTGTCCACTGAAGTTAAGTCAGAGTATGGGTTCCCATTATTGTTAAAATCTCTGCCAAATATGCTTCATGCATGCTTATGCACTGTTTTGTTGTAATAACTGATTTCTACATAAGCTTGAGGAAATTTAGAGAATTTCTTTTGAAAATAAATAGCCAATATTCCTGCAGTTATAGTTATTGCAAATGAAGGCAATGAGATGCATAGCGACGTCAGAGACAGACACAGAGAAATATCACCTACCGACTAAGGACCCTTTAATTAATGATCTCTGCTCTTTTGCAACAGCATTTCTGGCATCCTCTTCTTTAACAAATTGGACAAATCCATAACCCCTTGGATGCACAGACGCATCTGAAAATGGACATTCATGTTTGGAGAGCTCATAGAAAAACTGCACATGGTGTGACTTGATCTCACATCTAATCATTCATAACATCCACAAGTAAATCCACAAGTTCATGCATTACCTAATATTAAGTCAAGAATTTGAAAACATACACCACTAAACATGTCATATAAGTCAATAGATGCAGCGTAATAAGGATTTTTCTTCCCAAATCATCTCACCCAGAATATTCCCATACGGAAGAAAATGCTTCTCTAATTCCTCCCTAGTTATTCGGTCTGATGGCAGGTGTCCAACAAAGATCCTTGCATTCAAATACTTGGGGTCATCACTAGCTATTGGTCGTTCTGGCACGGGACTGACTGAACGTTTTCGTTGGCGACTTGACTCTCTACTCTTGGATCCTCGTCCCAGAGAAGTTTGTCCTCTGTGATGTCGAGGGCTCTTGCTGCGGGATCTGTTCCGCTTATTTTGGTTTCTAGCATTTTTGTTGGCTGATGAGTTGGAGGAGGAAGAGCTACTGCTGCTCCTTCGGCGTCGGTAAGGACTTCTTGGCATTGAGGATAATGCTTCAACTGCTATGGACAAATGTCAGCTAAACACAAAGCATACAATTATTACTATTGGTCCACATTTATTGATGACAAGCTATATTTCCGTTCATAAAACTAATGAACATCAATTGAGATCAATAGTGCATCATTTTTCCACCACTGTAGTTTCCCTTGACTAAATTATATGCTGCAGTGACACATACGTGTTTTAATGCTTCCTAAAACCATAGTGAGTTAATGGACGTTTTCATAACTTCACAGTTCAATTTGAATTTGATAATGGACGATGTTTTACAACAAAACATCACAGAGATTTGCAAATTTGCTTCCAACAATTTATAACATGTACGCATACATGCACACACACAAACACACACTGAAAGTAATCCATGAACAGAGATAAGTATTCAGCTGTAAGTTAACGTACACAAACAGTCCAATGACCTGTACTCTAAAATCTGACCCATGCCCGACTCATCATGATCATACAACAGGGATTTATCTAGACCTGCTCAGAGGCCAATATTCAAGCCCAAGCCAGCCCAAGCAAAAATTCCTCATATGAATAAAAAGTGACCCAGTTTTTCAGAATTTGCAAACTTATGAATAGTGGAGTCAATACATCAGTTTTTCCTTTTATCTGCTAGCCAAAGGCACTTAGTTTGAAATCCTAGATAAATCTGTTCACAAAAATGATTAGAATCAACAAAAAGTTCCAAGTCAAGTCCAAAGATTGCACAACATAGTCAAGCTGAAGGGGTCGTTGTCGGCACAGGTACTACAGACATGTACCCCAGGTACGTTTCTGTACAGAGACATGTACCCTAAACAAAGACAAACTACAGAAACATACCCGGTACCCTAAACAACGGACGAGTCCATATTCTGCAACCCAAACCCAAAACCATATGATATGTAGTTGTTCCCGTTCAGCTGATTGTGAGTGGTGTATGTTGTGCACTGTGAAATATTCGTTACCGTGTATGCTCTTATATAACGCAATCAAATGCATCTAATACAACAGTATGAAAGTTCCGATCAAGAAAACTCCACAATGGAATCTCTCAAGGGTACGTTTCTGTATTCTGATTTTGGCTAGGGTACATTTCTGTATACAGAAACGTACCTGGGGTATAACAACGACCCCTTCAGCCATAGTAAATAGTTTAAAGATGTATTTTGTACAGTGGAACCCCTATCTGGAGATATTCATCACTTGCATGTAAGAAGAATAACAAGTTTACACCTAACATGGAAGCAGATGATCTGTGAAGGATAGCAAATAACTGCAAGAAGAATACCAAGAAATATTAAGTAATCATTTCAAGTATATACAAATCTCTTAAATTGCCATAGAATGTAATATCTTCTGTGTTAAGTTTGAAGAGATTGATCTGAAATGGAATCAGTTCAGCACAAACTGTCACCCTAGAATGCATGCTCTACAAACTATGCAGGATCTCAACAATCGATCAGTCAGGGTCCTATTGAGATGTTTAAACAGCATCACCCACACCAAGAAAAAGTAGTGTACACATAAATTTCAATAAAATAAAATTAAAATTTCAGTTAGGAAACGTAAACAATAAATGGTTTAATTTAAAACTGTCCATATTCTGTGATGCAAATTTACATATTTATACATGTCATATGTTTCCTATTCTGGCAGATATGCATTTTTGCATGGATGTGGCTATGTTTTAATTTTGAAACTATTTCCCATTAGAACTAGTAGTACTAGTACATCCATGTGGTACCCTCGCGTCATGGGTGTCCGTGGTATTAAGAAATTATGAATATGATCGCTCATATTGCCAAGTCATATAAACATAATATAGTGTTAGACGACATACCTTTGTATCATTTAATGTCAATAAAACACTTTTGTCATTCTGAAGTTCATTGTCGTCCGTATCGGACGACAGGTGGCCATTGTGCACAAACTCTGGTGACGTCATATGTTTCCGTGGTATTTCCTTCAGATCAAATTAAGGGCGCACAGCACATGTCACAATCTCACACATTGTCAACAGCCAATCCGGGAGTGTCAATGTAGGTTTACAGTAATATCAAAGTTGATAAATTGTAACACAGTAAACGATTTCGTAGAATTTACACAATAGTCACATTTCTTCAGCATAAATTTCCAGTTCATAGAATATGTAGAGTTGATACGGGATACATGAAATGAAAAGTGAAAAAACAACTTAAGAGATGACCCTATCGGGCTTCTATAGTTTAAAAAATAGAGCTGGGATTCCCCCCTTAGGTCACATGATTGTTTTTATTGATGACATCAGCTAGCAGACGAGCGATATTTGGAAAACTTTGAAGCTGAGTAAGTTTATAGAATATGTTTGCAAAGATCGCGCAAAAAATGCATTACGTGCTAGACATAAAGTTGCATTAGTTTTTAATAGTAGATGACTGTACGTACGCAAATTGATGAAAGTCTGAACATTTTTTGTTCAGACCCGTGCCGATCAACTGATGAACGTAAACAATCGATAGGGGCGCGATTTGGCGAGTGGCTCGTGAGAAATTATGTCCTTAGAAAATACCACGGAAACGTAAGTACCACGGAATCATATGACGGCATGGTATAGCTTCCCTTGATTATGACAATACAATAATAATTTCGCATTATCATAATATTTTGCAATATTTCACCCAACTTCATTTCAGTATGTACACTTTAAATACATGATTGAAGGATGAACTTTAATAAGAATAAGCAATGAAACAAACCTCAAACGACGTAATTCTCCTTCAAGAAATATATGTATCCAATCTCCCAACTCACGAAATTAGGAGACGGTGATGTAAAAATAGGATGTGTAGACAATGCTGCTCGCAACTGCTGTTTTGAAAAAACCCTTTCCTTGTAAATATTACCGATGTGCAAGTGCCAATTCCGGAAATAGGGAAACACAAATTTCAAATCGCGGTAAAACTATCAAATTGAAAATATATTCTTCCCAAAAAACCACCGCCATGTTGGAAAGTGCACGACGATCTGCAGGCCAAGTCAATCGTAAAATAGAGGCGATAGGAAAGAGCATGGGGGAAATAAAGCACTGACTGCTATATTTTTACCCATAACCATAATTGCCCACGGTGGAGGAAATTTGTAATACCACAATTCTCACCGTAAAATGACAAATAAGTTGGCTTTCTTCTTTGCCGCAAAGAGCCCTCGTTCCTCAAATCCTAGTTCGTTACACAACATCTGATTGGTTCAAATATCTTGAATCAGCCAATCGCAGATGAAGTAGCATAACGTAAACAGATCATCATGGCAGAACAGACGGAAGGTAACTTTCTAAAAGGAGAGAAAACGAAGAATCATCACAAGAATGCTATTTTGAAAATTGAAAGAGGATATGTTTCATAGTGACAGCGATCTTTTTAAAACTACAATTAAACTGTTATCGTCAATTTGGTGTGTAAACATGCTTAGTCTTGAAAACAACATGTCTCATAAGGACACCTTCCAAAATCTTCTCGACTCCAGTTCTTTTCATAACTCGAAGACGTTTCATGCCTAAATAAAAACAAACAAACCGAAACTGAGCAGTTACAGTCAAGGGTAACACTTTTTCACCTTAATGTATTAGCATTAATCATAAGGTAATGGGAACTTTATCACTTGAAAACGGATATGTATTAAATACATTTTAAATCAGAGATGGAAGCCACTTTAGAATACAGCACAACAACTTCTCGTGAAGACGTTCCAAGCCGTAGGTCATGTGTCACTGAGACCGGCATCAGTTCTGCAAGATTTTGTCAGACGCAACCCATGGATTGTTAGCCCGTCCACACTGTTACACAAAGTATAAATTGTATCTAGTCATGCCTGAGACATTACGGAAATGAACAGAAAGAGTCAACACGAAGGTTACGATTAAACACAGAGTCTCATGATTTTAATCTACAGACGGTTAGAATGCACTTTACTAGGCGCAGCCCTCGTTGCTGGTCGCAGGGCAATTATCGCGGTATAGCGCTACAGCGTTGTCTCCAGCGCTGTATTGCTATATCGCGGTAATTGCTATATCGCGGTAATTCACTTGCCAGTCAACCATCCTTAGAGTTATGATCCTTAGGGAGCTGACACATCTTTAGAGTCAAACAACCCTTTACGATCCTTAGGGTTTAGGATTAGCACCCTTCCGATCCTTAGGGTTAGGGTTGGGGGTGGGGTAGGGTTTGGGAACCTTATTGATTCCTTAGGGTTAGGGACCCTTTCCGATCCTTATTTAGGGTTAGACCTTACCTTAGGGCAGTGTAATCCTATTATATCCAATGGAAACACATTTTGATCCATCTGGTACTCGTCAGTCCAAGAAATAATGGCGTGAAAAAAATTAATGGGAAGGGTGTGGCACAGTGAGGGGGAAGCGCGAGAAATGTAAACAAACCAATGCGCTTGCGTCCGCTCATTACGTCACTTATTACCGGAGTCAGTAATCCAGTGAAGTGTGTTCGAGTTCCAGCAGCGCTAATTAATCTGAAAAAGTGAGCCTGGTAAAGTGCAGTACTCCCCAACAGACTTTTTTTACGAGTGATCCTGACACCTTCTGGCACACTCGTCCCATTCCATAATCTATAAGATAGCAAGTGTTGTGGAATGAGCAGATGAGGTATCAGACGTCAAATTCACAGTATGCATGAATGATGTTCTTTTTAAAATGTCGCATTTAAAACATGCCGCAAGTGTGAGCGAGCTTTCAAATCATTGCTGAACAAATTTAGTGTTTAAAAGTGGCTTAATTGCTAGTTCCAGGACAATTTCCATTATACCAAATATTCTCCACTAAACCATCTAATTGTGTATTTTCGACGTTTTTGTGTGAAAAAAGTATTAAAGATGCGAAAGCTAAAAATATCCCAAAAAAATTCCTGGCACATATGCATTGCAGGGGACACCTACCTACCATATTGGATTAGCTGCCAAACCCTAACTCTAAACACCTAAAAATAATTCTAATAAATACATTTATTGACCAAAGCAACACGAATATGTCTGCATGTCCTTTGTAATGCATTCATACCTCGGCTTTACTGTATAATGACATAAAATTACAGAATGTCAGCAGAGGCCTTTTATGTTAATAAGTTGTGTTGAAAACGTCATTGCTGCGACCCATTACGGTCGCCATTATTATTGTGCTTATCACTGTTGAGTGGTGTGTATGGTTGATGCATTAAAGTGTTTGAACCTCTCAGAAGATTTGTCACTGGTCTTAGTCTCACCCTGGCGGAATGAAAAATATATATATATGTACAGTGTATATTAGTTCCTATTTATGATTTATTTAGTCCCATAGATTACGTTGAAAGCTAAATATAAAATATATTTAACATAAACGTGCTTTCATAAACTGGCGCTTGCTGTATAATACGCTGTTGCCAGTTATCTTTAGCACACAAACTCTTAACAGCACTGGGCTTATTCAGTGACAATGTGTAGAGAGATGACAGAACACTAAGAGGAAATCAGGCACATTTGATAACCCAGCAACAATCTAGCATCACAGAGCATTGTTTTGGGTAGCAATGTTTCACAAATTAAGTCATAAGGTATTGTGATGTAATTTGTAAAGTTTGTTTGCTGTGTTCTAAAGGTGGTCCCAGAGATCATACACCAGTTACTCGTTGTCAAGGCTACATACACAAAAACTGTTTTCAGTGGATATGATTCATATTAAGCATGATTGAAAGTTTGGAAATATTGTATTATGCATTGAAGTGGTTGTTATTGCTATTATCCCAATTACCAACTCTATAGTGATTTTGTTAGAATGTGTGCTGAGTATGCCAAACTTCTAGAAAAGAGCGGACTCAAGTCTTGGCTGGTTGTGTGTCACCTTACCACAACTGCACGGGGCACTGCTCATGATATCGATCAAGAGCTGAGATGGTAAATGCAAACAAGAACTGAAAATCAACATTCTACATCTGTTGTAGGCCTTCAATGTTACAGAAAGACAGGAAATGTATATCAAAATATCTGCTCTGTGATACCTTACTGACTGTGATATGCTCTCATACAGTGACTTGAACTTATAACCATTTAAATAAGATGGAATTTTCAAGAAGTGATGCCTTTGTGTTTTAGATTTAAAGGCGTTTGAGAGGAGGTTGACAGAAGTTATAGATAAGCTTCAGCCAGCAGCCAGGTTCTGGAGAAGTAAGTACAAGCTGTAGCCCAAGATTGGCTTTCATGCTGTAGACAGCAATATATGAGAAGTGGCTGGAGAGTTCTGAGCCTAACTCCAAGGATATATACTAAGTATATTCTGTGTATTAGTTCAGTACTTTCCAAACATGCTTGGATGCATTTGAACCAAAACATCCAACCAGGAGTTCAAGAGGGGAAAAGAGGCCCTTGAGATGATCCAACATAAGAAAGACCTTCTGCTGCCACCACTAAAGAAAATGTTGATAAATCCCACGAGATGATTATGGATAGTTGAACGTACACAAAATGTCACATATCCAATACAGTAGCAATGCACTAGGTTCAACATCTCTCATGAGACGTTATGTTGTTTTGAAGCAGATTTAGCCTTTCTAGTTGACCCGTCTGAAACCATGGATGAGTATTGAGTCACTCTCCGACAAAACTACAGTTGTTTTTTTGTGTTTTGTGTGTGTGTGTGTGTGTGTGTGTGCATGCGTGGGTGCGAGGTTGGGGGTCTCCCCTTAATATGGCTTTGAACTTACTGGACATCCTCAATATTCACCAGATTAGACACCAGCAAATTTTCACCTCTTCCCAATCTTGAAGAAAGAACTGGCAAGCAATATTCAAGTGACAATGAAATCATTTCTGCTGTATGGCCTTTCACCAGCAGAAGAAAGACTTCAAAACTAGTGGCAAGCCCATACTTTAACTAAAATAGTTCAATGCAAAACTGTACTTGATTGAACAATACATGGGGGTAGAGCGAACTGTATTTTCTAACTACATTACTTGATTACTTTACAAGACCCTTGAAATTTGTGAAAAGGGGTTCTTTGCTCTGCTTGAGGTTTTTGTTCATGATAATGTTTCACAGAGAAACTTACAGTAATGTTTCTCAGGTACACAGAATGTCAGAAAAGGAAGGATGTCTTGTAGCATCTTCTAAACAAAGTTGGTGAAAGAAAACATCTGAAGAATAACACATTGTAATGTGTATGGTGTAACTGAACCATGTGATAGTGTTACAGCTGACCAGCTTGACTATTGTCAAAATATCTATACTCTGTCAGTGAAGGTACATTGTGTGTTTCAGTCATACTGATCTTCATCTCTGTGTGTACAGCAGTAGGGGCATGGACATGGCTCTGGGACCCCCTTACACCTCAGGTGAGTACTGAACAGCATTGGTGAGAGCTGATTGGTGGCATGTTCATGTGTGTCATGTTTGAGGCAACTACCTCATACTTGTCTCAAGTAAATCATGGTCCCAAGCACCTGATATTTGCCCCAAGTACCCCATAGTTGTTACAGGTATCAGTCACCATGTGTGTTGAACATTGTTACAGGTGTGGTCACACTGTATGTTGAACATTGTTACAGGTGTGGTCACCCTGTATGTTGAACATTGTTTCAGGTGTTGGTCACCCTGTATGTTGAACATTGTTACAAGTGTGGTCACCCTGTGTGTTGAACATTGTTACAGGTGTGGTCACCCTGTATGTTGAACATTGTTACAGGTGTTACATTGTTACAGGTGTGGTGTTGAACATTGTTACAGGTGTGGTCACCCTGTATGTTGAACATTGTTACAGATGCTGGTCACACTGTATGTTGAACATTGTTACAGGTGTGGTCACCCTGTATGTTGAACATTGTTACAGGTGTTGGTCACCCTGTATGTTGAACATTGTTACAGGTATTGGCACCTTGTGTCTTGAACATTGTTACAGGTGTTGGTCACCCTGTATGTTGAACATTGTTACAGGTGTTGGTCACCCTGTATGTTGAACATTGTTACAGGTGTGGTCACCCTGTATGTTGAACATTGTTACAGGTGTGGTCACCCTGTATGTTAAACGTTGTTTCAGGTGTTGATCACCCTGTATGTTGAACATTATTTCAGGTGTGGTCACCCTGTATGTTGAACATTGTTACAGGTGTGGTCACCCTGTATGTTGAACATTGTTACAGGTGTGGTCACCCTGTATGTTGAACATTGTTACAGGTGTGGTCACACTGTATGTTGAACATTGTTACAGGTGTTGATCACCCTGTATGTTGAACATTGTTACAGGTGTGGTCACCCTGTATGTTGAACATTGTTACAGGTGTGGTCACCCTGTATGTTGAACGTTGTTTCAGGTGTGGTCACCCTGTATGTTGAACATTGTTACAGGTGTGGTCACCCTGTATGTTGAACATTGCTACAGGTATGGTCACCCTGTATGTTTAATATTGTTACAGGTGTGGTCACCCTGTATGTTTAATATTGTTACAGGTGTGGTCACCCTGTATGTTGAACATTGTTACGGGATCAGCCATCCAGTATATTTTGTTGCAGGTATCATTCACCCAGTCTCTGCTAAACCATCCTTTCTTCACCATCAGCTGCCTAGTCCTCGTCATGCTCTTCCTCTGGGGCATCCACAAGCGGGTGGTGGCACCATCCATGTATCCTTCAGCTAACTCAATGTTTAAAGCTGTGTTGATATGACCTGGAGGTGGTGGTGTAGCCTAATGGTTAAATGTCATGCCAAAGACCTGGGTTCCATTCCCCACATGGGTACAATGTGTGAAGTCCATTTCTGGTGTGCCCCACCGTGATATTGCTGGAATATTGCTAAAAGCAGCATAAAACCTCACTCACTCACTCACTCACTCACTCACTCACTCACTCACTCACTCACTCACTCACTCACTCACACTCACTCACTCACTCACTCACTCACTCACTCACTCACTCACTCACTCACTCACTCACTCACTCACTCACTCACTCACTCACTCACTCACTCACTCATTGCATTATGTAAAATGATCATGCATTCACCTACATGTATTATGTTATCCACAAGTCCGCATGTTACAGTTGCATACAAAGTTGCAAACTCTAACAGCCCTCCAAACATTCCCACAAGAGGCATTGTTGACTTGCAGACACGGAGTCAAAGGCTTAAGAAATGAAGGGAGGCAACTCTGGTAAAATAGTTTGTGTAAGAGAAGTAAAATGCACAGATGAAGCGTTAATTGTTTTCTGCTGTCTGTGGTTTATTGAATGTAAAATATCACTTCTCTAATGGCAAGTCTAGAGGTAACGTTACTTTAGGTTAATCTATAAATCAAACATACACTGTACACTGCAAACTTAGTCATCAGTTTAGTTAATTTACCATGCAAGTCGTGAAACATGTTTTAATTCCCAAACACAGTTTTACTGTATTTCTGTGAAGTCTCAAAGCTAATTTCTTGTACTGTTTTAGTTGAAGAATGACTTAATTAATCATGTAGAGACAACCACATGTAAAGGTTACGTTTTCTATTATCTAACATCATTACTAACTTTTACACATTTGGGGATTTGGTACCTGTAAAGGTTATTTTAAAAAGGAATACTGTGTTCTTCTGTATACCTTTTTAATCTTCGTCACATCTGTATTTGAACAGTTTTGATAAATGACTACAACCAGACTTTTCAAATCTTCTATCTAATAGATAATCATTGTTATGTAGACCATGAAAATGCATGTGACTTTCGTCTTTGTTGGGTTTTGTATAATGTTATCCATTCCTTGTAAACATAATTTGTATTGTTTGGTGGAAATTACCCTTCCCCTGTGATGTTAGTCTGTCCCACAGTCCCTGAAGCAAATTATTTTCAATTCTACCTTGCCCTTTCTGCAATTTTAAAGCCCTAAATGAAGCAAGTACCCCGGGTATATCTTTCCTCAGGTTCTGAATCTCCCATCTCACTCGGGATCCTTTTCAAATTAAAAGGAATTGTTTGTTTCTATCAAAATTATATATTTTCAGAGATGTTTAGTCAACTGTGTTGTCAAAATCCATTGCAGATATTTACTCGGACACTAAGGAAAAGGGGCATAACTCTGCTGAGCTTCACTGTGGACCATTGTAATTGTACTGTCATGTTTAGAATTTGCTATAAACCACTACTGTGTATGTTCATATTGTTTTCTTCTTGAGTAACCAAACTATCCTCACTTGAATCTGGTTTCTTCAAAAACAATGGTTTGAAACAGTATAATATTTAAGATAATGAAATATGTAAACTGATGATGCTGTAAGTTACATTTCCCACCTAATTGTGTAAGTATCAGCATCAAATTTCATGAATTAATGGAAGTTTGAATTCATTTTGTTACATTTCATATATTTTATCAATAGAACAACGTTATGATTTACATAAAGGAGTATCATTTGGGATGCACAGAATCCCCTGAATAGAAATGACATTAAAATAGTTATCTTTTTTAGAACATATTTTTCAAATCAGGATTTTCTTTATGAAAAATATCCTCCTTGTTTAGATGTATCAGGAGAATTCATATGGTTAGTCAGTGGTTGTCATAAAAATATTCATTTTCTTTGAGTATCACATAAAAATCTAATTAAGAATAGAAGAAAATAGATTTTTCTTTAACAGTTTTTGATGAAATTACTAGGATGAACTTATTTCAGGGAAATAATACATTATCATAAGCTTTATTACTTATATTGCATGTATTATTATATGCTTAGTGTAATTATTACACAAACAAGATTATTTATTCTGTAATCTGTACCTACTTTTCTGACCTTCACCTTTCAACAACCTCAGATGTTTTGCCCAATGTTCATGGCTAGCATCTCTACTTGCGACCTACCATGAAATGGAGAGATCACAGGCTCAAGTATGAGGGGCTATCAAAATGTTTTGAGTCAAAAATACTTCTGATATGTGCATGATAAAAATAATTGTATTATATTGAAGAATGGTTTATATCATTCACATAAAAGTAATATTGACATGCACATGTCACTAGTTTCTGGACATCTAATCACATATACTCCTATTGAAACGGCAGAAATGGACAAGTAACATACGAGTAGGCTCAAAACTTAATGGCCCCTCATATACTCAGTTTTTAGATGAGGATTTATGCAATAATGAATAGTCATGTAAGTAATCACAATCAATATGCTAATCAGTCTCCATACTGTTTTCTTTTTCCATTGTAACCTGCACCAATCAGCCTCATTACAGTTGTGGTGACTTTTTCTGTCCCCCATGGCATCTCATACAACTAACATGATGACAGCTTACGTTAAATTTACCAAATCATTGTAATAATGAAGCCAATTTTTGTATTTCGAAATTCTTTCACTTCTGTCTAAATTGAGCCAATGACATTTACAAGTTGAGGAATGGATCTATCCATTCAGTAGAAAATGTTATACAGCACAAGACCACAATTTTGCTTTGTCCACATTTTATCATCCACACCAGAATGGATTTGTTTCTTTTCATCGATACCACTTGTGTGACATTTGTGTGACATTTACATGACATTTGTCATTTGGTTCTGAAAAGTGTGGAATTTGGGGATGTATGGACTGCAGGTGAGTGTGATTATATGTTATGTAAAAGGGATCCTGTTGCCAGCTAACTCACGGCTTCACTCTCTATCTTGAGTGGAAGAAAGTTCATTTCAGTGTTATGATTAGGTATTTTCTGCAGCAAACTAAACAAAGCTCTGGTTGTTGGTGATTTTTCAGAATGATTCTTTGTCTCTTAAAAATACACTGGCACTTGTGATCTTTTATTGTTATGTATACACATGGGAAAAGTCTTGCAACACCTATGATTATTAACCCCATATAGCACTTTATATCATTGTTATGTTTGATTGTATACTTGTTTTGGCCCTTCTAACGCTCCGTTCATTGATTTTACATGTGCTTGTGCTGCGATCAAAGGCGTGCGTCACGTGCAATATATGTATCTGTCAATAAGGAAGTATCAAGTTTCAGTAAACTGTTCTTACTGCTCGACTGTAAGAATTATGAATTATAATATGAATTATAAGACTTTATCCATTTATGTCAAGTGGTGTGTTAAAAACAGAATGGCTTCCAGATAGTTGTTTGTCCAACAAAACAGTCCAAAGTACCTAAGATAATCTGGGTTGAGTCAGTTGTTATCCCCAGAGCCCAAAGCAGCATGACTAGCTTAGTGTTAAGCTCAACAACAGTGGAATATGAGGTCATGGGGAGGAATTCTCTGGTCAGGCAGAAGTAGATTTCTTTAGTTCAGGATCTTGTGTTTGGCACCACATAAGCACAAAAGAATGTCTTGGATCAAGTACTGTTTGGTTCATTAATGTTGTGGGGGTGCCTTTCACATGAATGTAAGCTTGACCTTGTGACGATCAGACAAAATCTGAATGGACAACGGTACATCACTGAGATCCTAGACAGGATTCTTGCGCAACATTTTGATGCACATTCCCTGAACCCAAAGCCAGACTTCATGGATGACAATTCTAGGCAACATCGTCCATATGCAGTTCGTGATTTCTTATGTCAAGATACAGTAGCAACTCTATCTTGGCCTGTCAGAGTCCAGATCCCAATCCAATTGAGCATATTTGGGCCATTATAGGTTACAATATACGCTAGAGAGATCCTCCAGTACCAAATTTTGATGTATTAGAACAAGCTCTTAAGTATTGAACGTAATACTTCAACGCTACAGTTGAGGAGGAGGGTCAGGAATGTTATTGCAGTTGGTGGAGATGTTGACAATGTGCTTGGTTATTGATCCTTGTGATGTTTTGAGGATTGAATTTGGCTTTGTTTGCTTCAGTGAATAAACTATAGTTTTTAGTTCTTTTTGCATTTAGATTTGTGTTTCAATTTCTTCTTGAAGGTTAATTTATCTAGGAAGCTGATGCTGTGAAAAGTATGGGGTGTTGCGATACTTTTTCTATGAGTATATTTGTGATTGAATTCTACAAGTAGCTGTCTGACACATGTAATTAGATTTCAGATACACTGGTTGTTCGCTGTCATTTTTCAAGGGTTGTATGTTGTCATTTTGCACTGCCATGCATGCCAGTGATGGAACAAAAAAGAAAATATGTCACTGTATTCAAAACTTGGAAGTATATGTTTGTGGGTCATGCAGTTTGAGTTTCATCCAGCACCAGCTTGAGGATTGTAGAAGGAGGAATTATGCTTAGGAATAATGATAGTGTTTATACAAAACATTGGAGCCTGCTTCACCCAAAGGACTGAGTGAGTATTTGAGTGAGTGTGGTTTTACGCTGTTTTTAGCAATATTCCAAGCAATTTCACGTTGGCTGACACCAGGAATGGGCTTCTCACATTGTACCCATGTGGGGAATCAAACCCGGCATTTCACAGTGATGAGAGAAGGATTACTTGCATTGTGCATGATGATGCTTGAATCACATATGCTTGGTATGAAGTTTCTTGAGTGCAGTTGCATTATTTTAATGTTTAAATGTTTATTGTTTCAATATTAAATCATACATAAGTATTATCACTTCTGAATGTTACTTGATGAAACCATCATCATGTTCAGTAATGCTGTCAGATCATTCGGTCTGCCTCTTTAAACAGTCAAAAATATCAAAAGGTGCATTGTAAAATATTCAGTATTAAAGAGCTGATAATTATATCACCTACATTTGCTGGGCCCGCCTTCTCACCGTAGCCAATCAGATAAGCCATTACAACTGTCACTTAATTACCAGTGTCAGTAAAGATGGTGGCTGCAGCTGCGAAGATTTGCTTGCTGTCTGACTCAGATTTAGGGAAAAAATCAACCATTCATTCAAATTGACAGGTCTGAAACATTAAAAAAATATGTGCAAGAAGTCCTTCTACCTCTTCCAGAGTACCTGTGCAACAATAATTGTGTTGCCAAGTTTAATCGGTTAGATGAAAGAAGCGAAAGTGAGTGATGAAAGAGGCCTTGTGATTGGTACGCTCAACTTCCCAGCGTAGACACCTGATTGGATAAAAAGCCAGCAAAGGGAGGTAATAAAACTATCAGGCCGTACATGCCATAGAGCCGTTGATGCATCCAGGGTACTAGTGGAGATTTATTGGAATGTATACCCTGGAGATTATCGAGGATGCATAGTAATGTGTTTGATGGGTTTAGGACACAAGTTTGTTTATCCCGAGCTGACTATGTCACTAAAACTGAAGGTGAGCTGCTGGACCTCTGGTACACTGGTTTTATGGCTAATTATGCGTAATTGTCTTTTTGAACCTACGGTTACAGTATTATTTTACAATTTGTGCCATGAAAAGTAGTAGATTTATTATCTGACAATCATGTATGGGTAACATGCACATTGTCTTTTGACTTTTAAACCATTTTTCATTTTCAAATTTCTGACTGATAGCTTCATCATGCTGTTCATCGGAGTTTGTTAAGAAGATTTTAGTTATAATGTTATCTTTAATCTGTTCCCGAAGTTCACCCTAAATGTCTTATCCCTAGCTGATCAAAAGAATATTCATTCCTTCTGAAATCAAAACTTAAATAAAAGCAAATTAATATTTCAATTCATATATTTGATTTCTATGTGTAATTATTTAAATGTGTTTTGGTTTAACATTAAGAAAAACTTCAATTAGAAATATATATATTTGTAAGCCAACCCTATTTATAAATCAAAATAGTACCTCATTCTTTTTTGGTTGAAAAGATACTATTAATGGTTTGAATTCATTATAGCACATGTTTAGATTATTTACATTTATTATTTAGATTTACAAAATATGGAAACATCTAAAACAAAACCTGCAGACATGGGTATTTGAACACACTGCATGAATCAGGCAGCTTCATGAAGGGAGGTAACTCTGCTTGTCTCAGCACCAGCCACATCACATAATGCTTCCATCTGGGCCTTCATCATCATAATTTATCTGAGACTGGTGGATGAATGCACTGGTCTGTCTCCAGGCCCATTATGCAGGAACAGGCAGACAGCCCTAGTCGTGTTGACAGCAGGTGCTTGCCCTGTGTCAGTCTGCACATACACACAAACAACTTGGGCATTTATACTCACTGCCCTTTTTTGTTCTGCTTCTGTAGGCAGCTTATTATGGATGCATTTATGTTTACAGATAATTTGAATGGTTGTTTATGTTAATCTTGTGTATGTATATTTATGACATACAATGTATACTTTACTTATGTTTAATATTTTGTTATTCACATTAATATCATTTGGGGGTCATTATTTTGTTTATATTTTTACAGGAATGTTCTTTATTTAGTTGAGTTTTTTTCTTTTGTTTTTATATTTAAGCAATACAAGGTTTTCCTGTCATCAGAATTATTTTATGAATAGATCGAAATATTTTTCATTTTTATTGATTTAAAGTGCTTGATGCCTGATGTTTGATTTAAGTTATTATTGTATGTATTTGCATACAAATAGATTTCAGGTTCATGAAAAGATGGAGGTAATGAAGAACACATGTTAATATCCTTAACTTCTACAGAATTGCTTCGAGATGCCGGCAAGTCCTTGGAGATTATAACATGTCCTGTGATGACGTAAGACTTTTCACCTTTCATTCTCAGTGTGTGCTGATATATAATGTCTGTGTTTCCTTCACTTCATGGTTTTCCCAGTCTGTAGCTATGTTGTACAGATGGGCAGCAATAAAAACGAAAGGAAGCTGCTTTCTTAAAGATGGCTATGGATCTGCCATTGTGAAGAGTCATTTGAGAAGAGTAATTTTTTCCTGTCAAACAGAGGTGACATCAAATGTTGCCAGTATGGTCAGTACGAAGAAGTTATCCCTTAGCTAAGATGTTTTGTCCTTCATTTCCAAATAAATACCTGTTGAAGGTATACAAAGGGATATAAATCAGTTGAAGTTAAGCAACATTGGGCACGGAGAGGTCTTGGATGGGGGACCATGTTTGGCAGCTTGACTACTGACTTACTTAAGGGTAGAACTTAAGTCCTGAACCTCAAAGACGCACATGTGATACATGTGGTCTCACCTTAGGCAAGTGAGTTTGTTCAGAATTGCCTCTGTTCACCCAGCAGAAAATGGGTACCCAGTGGGATAAGTCATGTGACTATTAACCTTATAGTGCCTCAGCTTGGCTTATCCGGGGTAATAATCATCAGATTGTCCGCTTTGAGTATGCTTATGTATGGAAATAGCGCCATAGAAATACTCTATTATTAATGGTTTACAATATATGTTTACATAGTTATCAACATGAACTACACGTTACTGAAGACACTGTCCAAGAGGACAGTAACCTGGGTTTATGTCAAAGTTGGATGGTGAAACAGAAACAACATTACTCTAATCTCTGCCATCATGTCTTGACATGACACACCAGCCATTTTAAGAGAAAGTATGAGACACCTACCTGTGTCTAGCATTATAGTCAAATTCTCTATTTGTATTTTTTGCATGTTTTTTATTCAATTACAACGACAACCTGACCCAATTATTTCCTTGGTTGGTGGTACCTTACTATCGCTATGACACAAAACTCTACAGCTGATTGTATGATAATATTAGATGACTCACTGACTTTGTTGACACAGGTCATTGTATCTCAACTGCGTAGATTGAAGTTCATCATCTCTACCCATACACTGTCTGGTCCAGACTCGATTATTTGCAGACTGTCATTATGAAGCTGGGGTACTGCTGAGTGGAAGCATTTAAGAACAAATAAAAAATTTAGAACAAGCTCAAGTTAACCAGTCATCTTTGATACCAACTGGTTGATAGCAAATAACCCACATAACCAAAGTCACAGAGGCCTTGGAGAATTTCATGCGAACAGAACTAGGACAGATGATTTGTTAATTATGGGTGGTTTGAGTGTAACGTACCACCTCCAGCATTTTCATCATCTGTGTTTCTTGTTGTGTTATTTTGTTATGTCTTCAGTCATGTGACCAATTCAAATCATACATGGAATTTGCCTGAAATCAGACATACTTTGTTCCAAACTTATAAAACAAATCAGATCTTTTAACTTGATATCTCTCTACATGAAGAACTGACAATACATGAATAGATTGTTTGCATCCAAATGTATCTGAGCCAATTAGACATCAGCTTTCTAAAACAATTTGGATTCAGTTCCTTGAGTACCTCAATTCAGAAATTTTGATCTTAGCAAAAGAAAACACAAATATCCCCTCGATAGTTTACTCTTTTTAGTGTGGATGTCATTGGGCTGTGGATTTCCAATATAATATTACAACTTCTTTTTATTTATTATTTCCTGCACCAAGAATTTAGATATCTGATGCGACCTGGGGATTTATCCTTAAATCTTCACACAGAGAGGTGTCGTATGAGGTCAAAGATAAGGCTTCTACTGGGATTGGGTTTCAAATTTGTATTAGAAAATAAGTGGAAGTGTATACCTCTTGTTTTAAGATTGTTTGTAAAAAGTGTGGCACGGGTTAAGTATGAAACACAAGATCTGTCATTTTGATTAATACTGTGTTACAATGTACATGATAGGACTACCTTGACATCCACAACCCACAAGGAACTATACGTTGTCACTTTTGTTGGAGAATGGTAGATGTTGGTATGTACAGTGAATGAGTGAGTTAACCAATATCCCAGGTATATGGCGGCGGTCTGTAAATAATCGAGTCTGGACCATACAATCCAGTGATCAACAGCATGAGCATCAATCTGCGCAATTGGGAACCGATGACATGTGTCAGCCAAGTCAGCGAGCCTTACCACCCAATCCCGTTAGTCACCTCTTACGACAAGCATGGGTTACTGAAGATCAATATTCTTTCTATCCCAGATCTTCACGGGTCTGGTGTGCACAGGTGCACATCATATTGTCTTGAACTTCGTCGTCAGGTCAGATTAACATTACATATATGCAGAACTGCTCAGTACTGCCTATCAATCCACAGAAAGGAAACCATTCAAATATTTTTCACATTAACTTGAAGCTGCCTGATGGTATTGAACACTTTGAGAAATAGTTCTGGAATCTCCATTGTTCTGGTTACGTTTGTTGACCACAATATGCAGACTCCAGTGTAAATCTGGACTCTTCCAAAATGTTATATGAAACCAACGACAAATTTTATGCTAAAAATGCCATTGGCATCTGGCTTGGATGTGTTGTTTTGTTACTGGTGGCACAACACATGGTCAGCAGTTTTACAGCTTGATTTCTTAATGTCAAGTTTCTGATTAGTCAGTTTTGGACAAGCCGGTAACCTTTGGGCTTTCATCACAGTGTAGACCATGCATTCCCAGTCTGATCAGAATTACTGAATTAGAGAGTGATTGTTATTGTGGATAATGAAAGTCAATGATGCTATTATTTCAGTGACTTGATGACTTTTTAAGAAAGTGTCTAAATTAAGAATGACTGCCTGTTTATGTGCAGTGAGAAATTGCATGGTCCATGTGAAGTTTTGGTGTGTTGAGGCATCAGATTTTGGCTCCAAAACCTTTCTCCTTTTTCTAACTCTTCTGTTGACCATTCATGACATATATTTCATGTTCCCCACTGTTATTCTAGATTATAAGTTAAAAAGACTCCAGCCTGGCTTATGGAAACGTTTGTAAAAAGTGGCCATACTTGTACAAGTTGATTGGACCAGAGTATTCATTGAGCCCTGCTCAAGTGTTGTATTTTCTTCACCAAACTGAAAGCAGTTTACTATCTGTGTTTAGTGATGTTATTCAGAACATATGTTGTTGTTATAAGAGTTTGCCTTAATAGTGGTTTTTATCATTGCATGTGTTATGCTGTCAAGCACTGTCTTGCCCAGACTAGATGGCTTCCACACTAAAATAGTGTGTACATATGTGTGCACATATCCTAAATTGTTTTATGAACAAGTCTAATGGCTTTGATCTTTGAAAAGACTTTAGCCTCAACGAACAATCCCTGCTTGAGCTTTAATCTGCTTTATGTAGCCTACAAGTGTAAATGAAATAAATCCAATATATTACTCATTATCGTCTATATTTTCACCTTGCAGACAGGGAAGCTTATTTTGAAGCCCAGGCCATCAACCTGACATAAAGACCTAGCCTAGAGCCAGTGGAGGACTTTCAGTGCAGTACATGTATTACCAGTGCATATCACACCGCTTGCCTGCAGCCAGCATCCATGTCTGGGGCCCATCATCATACAGCACTTGGCCCTGATTGAGGATGCTGTAGCAGCAGGATGAAGGTTGATCAGCATCTATTAACCAGCTGTATAATTGTTAACTGAGGGGACAATATGTATGACATTTTAGTTTGAATTTTATTGAATGTTTTTCCCCTTAGTATGTGTATGGACTGAGAAAATATGACAGTGTGTTGTGATGATGTTCAGCTGGATGACTATTTGTGGGGAAATCATGTATGAGACCATGATGAATCATACAAATTGGAATATACATGGATATGTGTCTTCATTTATACCTCACCTTGATATTTTGTAGTCATGCTGTCATTGATTGTATGTAATTAACAAACACTGAATGAAATAATAGATCCAGAGAAGGCATTGTATAGGGATATACAGTACAACCAGAAATTATTGAGAATTTAAAGATTGTAAATGTTTTCATTTTTTTCACTCATTACTCAAGTATTAATGTGAATATTAGCAGAACATGACTCCAGATTCAAAGACAGGTGAACAGTTAGTATTTTGTCAAGTCACCATGGGCAGCAATGCAGGCTTCAATGCGGCAGGGCATACTACTGATCAAAGAAGTTAGAAAGTCGGGGTCCATGCTGTCCCAATATCGGACGACCTCTTCTTTCATTTCAGCAATATTTGTCAGATTTTTCTTATTGACACTTTCCTTCATAAGTCCCAAAACATTTTCTATTGGATTTAGGTCAGGACTATAGCTTGGCCAATCTAATAATGTCATATTTTGGGTCCGAAACCAGGCCTGTGAATTGTTTGAACATGTTTTGGGTCGTTGTCCTGCTGGAAAATAATTTTTTTTCCATAGAACACGTGAGCAGATGGAAGTAAATGTCTCTCGAGAATATCTGTGTACCGCTCACTGTTCATATTCCCTTCAAATACACAAAGACGCGTTGCCCCTAAAACAGATATGCCACCCCACACGTTAAATTTCGGACTGTACTTTGGGCACTGATACAAAGGTTTTTCTGTTTGTTTTCAGTTAGGAAACAGCCACACAAAACTTTCATCTGAGAAAATCCCATTGTCCCAGTTAAAATTTCTTTGCTGCAAGCACTAGTTCAACCTTCGCTCCTTTTGTTCAGGTTTCATGATCGGTGATGGAATTCCTCGACTTTTCTGCCAACCCATTGCATGCAGCTCAGTTCTAATTGTCTCCTTACAGACAGCCACAGTTCCTCTATCAATCATATCCAGCCTTAAGTTTTCTAAACTCCTTCGTTTGTTTTTAGAAACAAGAATACCAAGCCACCTCCTGTCACCGACAGTCAATTTTCTGGGCCTACCTGCGCCTCCCTGGTGCTCAATGCCATATCCATTTCCAATATTTTTCAAGACACGATAAACAGTGGACAAAGGGATGCCTGTTCTACTTGAAATCACTTTAGCTGATCTGATGTCCTTGTTATAATACTCTAAAATCAACTTCCTCTTCTCTAATTCATCCATACTGAGGATCACTGAAAATGTTGTCTGCTAGCGAGTAAACAAAGGGAGATAACTCGTCACAAACTAATGAAAAAGGGTTAACGGAGTTGTCTCTCTTGAATGAAACCAAGCACTTTATGGCTGGTCAAGGTTGTTTATACTAGAAATCCAATTAAACATATTCCTAAAATTCTCAATAATTTCTGGTCATACTATACATCATATGCATTATCTAACCAAGACATCAGTTAGGGTTATAACACACACTATGTACATGATCTAGCTAAGGCATCAGTTAGGGTTATAACACACGCTATGTACATGATCTAGCCAAGGCATTAGTTAGGGTTATAACACACACTATGTACATGATCTAGCCAAGGTGTCAGGGTCATAACACATACTATGTACATGATCTAGCCAAGATGTCAGGGTTATAACACACACTATGTACATGATCTAACCAAGGTGTCAGGGTTATAACACACACTATGTACATGATCTAGCCAAGGCATTAGTTAGGGTTATAACACACACTATGTACATGATCTAGCCAAGGTGTCAGGGTCATAACACATACTATGTACATGATCTAGCCAAGATGTCAGGGTTATAACACACACTATGTACATGATCTAGCCAAGGCATTAGTTAGGGTTATAACACATGCTATGTACATGATCTAGCCAAGGTGTCAGGGTCATAACACACTATGTACATGATCTAGCCAAGACATCAGTTAGGGTTATAACACACACTATGTACATGATCTAGCCAAGGTGTCAGGGTCATAACACACACTTATGTACATGATCTAGCCAAGGCATCAGTTAGGGTTATAACACACACTATGTACATGATCTAGCCAAGGTGTCAGGGTTATAACACACTATGTACATGATCTAGCCAAGATGTCAGGGTTATAACACACACTATGTACATGATCTAACCAAGATGTCAGGGTTATAACACACACTATGTACATGATCTAGCCAAGGTGTCAGGGTTATAACACACTATGTACATGATCTAGCCAAGATGTCAGGGTTATAACACACACTATGTACATGATCTAACCAAGGTGTCAGGGTTATAACACACACTATGTACATGATCTAGCCAAGGCATCAATTAGGGGTATAACACATGCTATGTACATGATCTAGCCAAGGCATCAGTCTGGGAAATGTTTTATTCTATAAGTAAAGTGTCCAACAAAGGTTTTGTTAATGAAAACAATGAATTTAAATATGTGTTGGTTAACAAACATGTTGCAGCAGTGTAATTATTATCCACAAGTTTTGGCTGATGAGTGGTATCTTTGAAATCAAAGGCCTTTGTAGCAGCCTGCAGAACTAAACCAAACTTCTCATACTGTGAAAATTTGATTGACCGAGTAGATTTCAGCCATGCATCATTGACTCCTTAGTTGTATGTAAATAATTTATAACATAAATGTATAAACTTGCATGTGGAGAGTGTTTCTACTTGTTTTTTGTAAATGTTGCTGAGTTACCTCATTAAAGTCAAATCTTTTGCTCCAACATGAGACCTCTCAGCATGATGATCTGGGGACATGTGGAAGTTTTAGTCCACAAATTGGCATCTAGACTTCTAAATTCTTGCTTTCAATTGCAGAAACATAAAGCAGCGGATTACTTCCAATAATGTCAACATTCCTGAATTGAGAGGGTAAAGATATGAAACCAAATAATTTTACAGCTGAGATGTGATTGCTTCTCTTTTTGCACCGTCTATTTGTATTTGAAGTCAAACTTCACTCAGGTTTCATCTAATCTAAACCTGAGTTTCAATTAAGGGTGTATATGCCTACCAAAGGGTATTTTGTACATTTCATGTCATTAGGTGGACAGGGTCACAAAGTTTTACATCTTATTAATTTGGTTCAAAGGCACATCTACTATTTATCACACCTATAGAATAAGTTTTGATCATGCTTGATTGAAGTGGACTGGTTCACCAAAACAGAACACTAGACACTTTGCTCATAAAATATTTGATAACAGTGAGATCATGCATTCTACCCATAGTGATTACAAGGTTACAGTGCAGCATGTAATACCTATTGGTTACAATGTTGTGCATGTAATACCTATTGGTTACAACGTTGTGCATGTAATACCTACTGGTTACGATGTTGTGCATGTAATACCTATTGGTTACGATGCATTGAGTGAATTTAGTTTTATGCTGCACTCAGCAATATTCCTGCTAGATGGCAGTGGTCTGTAAATAATCGAGTCTGGACCAGATAATCTTGTGATCAACAGCATGTGTCAACCAAGTCAGCTAGCCTGACCACCCGATCCTGTTAGTCGCCACTTACGACAAGCATGGGTTACGATGGGTGGTTACGATGCAGCATGTAATACCTATTTGTTACAATGTTGTGTTATGATGCAGCGTGTCATACCTACTGGTAACAATGTTGTGTTATGATGCAGCATGTAATACCTATTGGTTACAATGTTGTCTTATGATGCGGCGTGTCATACCTACTGGTAACAATGTTGTGTTATGATGCAGCATGTCATACCTATTTGTTACAATGTTGTGTTACGATGCAGCATGTCATACCTACTGGTAACACTGTTGTGTTATGATGCAGCATGTCATACCTACTGGTAACAATGTTGTGTTATGATGCAGCGTGTCATACCTATTGGTTAGAATGTTGTGTTATGATGCTGCATGTCATACCTATTGGTTACAATGTGTTACGATACAGCATGTCATACCCATTGTTTACAATGCAACATGTAATACCTATTGTTACAATGTTGTGTTACGATGCAACATGTCATTCCTATTGGTAACAGTGTTGTGTTGTGATGCAGCATGTCATATCTATTGGTTATAATGTGTTACAATGCAGCATGTCATACCGATTGGTTACAATGTGTTACAATGCAGCATGTAATACCTATTGGTAGCAATGTTGTGTTATCATGCAGCGTGTCATACCTACTGGTTACAATATTGTGTTATGCAGCATGTCATACCTACTGGTTACAATGTTGTGTTATCATGCAGCGTGTCATACCTACTGGTTACAATATTGTGTTATGCAGCGTGTCATACCTACTGGTTACAATATTGTGTTATGATGGTTAGCATAACAGCACTTGGTTAGAGTGGTTTTTTGACGATTCAGTGTGTAATACCAATGCTGTCCTGTTATTGCTTGAGGCAAGTGTAAGTTAAGAAGTATTAGTAGAAGCCCAATAGACACCATCCATGTATGTAGTGTTGATATTGATTTTATTGAAGACAGATCATAACTTGCTGGATAAAAAGACCAATTCTGCATATGTACTGATCACTCTCCACGCCCCCACTTCCTATTGTCATGTAGGTGGAATATTGCTTAGTTTAGTTTCAAACAACAAACATGTGTCAGTTTAATATAACCTGATGTTGTTCAAGGTTCTTCCTGAAGGATCTCATCTAAACTTAATAGTTTGGACTTTATTCAGAGATATGTATTGTAATTTAATTTATATGAATCACTTGAAATGTAAAATGTGTGTTCGATAGCTTTAAAGTTCATTAAAGACATTAAAGGGTTCATCATTGTTTTCACAGATGGTGCTGTAAATAGCTTTATAGGATTATTGGTGTATGTGTTAGTAGATATGATGAAATATATTGTGTGTAAATAAATATAATAATTTAAGGAAAATTGTTAACTTCTTTCATTTAGTGCAAATATTTTCTCTTGGTGAAATTATCCCCAGGGTCCCTGGTCCGCAGTTGTCCATGCCTTTTGGAAGAGTTCATCAAAGGGGATCAGCTTGTTACAGTGTGTGTCACCATGCCCCTACTCCATGGATCCTTGTATATGCTTTAGCATCCTGGTCCAAGCTCACTGACATACATAAAGCCATGTTGCATATTTATTTTCAGTAGTACAGTGGTACATGGCCTGTTGAAACTCCAGTCTTGGTAACAGTGTCACGTCACCTCCAGCCTTGGTAACAGTGTCACATCACCTCCAACCTTGGTAATAATGTCATGTCACCTGCAGCCAGGGTAACAGTGTCATGTTACCTCCAGCCTCGGTAACAGTGTCATGTCACCTGAAGCCAGGGTAACAGTGTTATGTCACCTCCAGCCCTGGTAATAGTGTCGTGTCACCTGTAGCCTTGGTAACAGTGTCATGTCACCTCTAGCCAGTGCAACAGTATCATGTCACCTCTAGCCAGGTAACAGTATTATGTCACCTCTAGCCAGGGTAACAGTGTCATGTCACCTCCAGCCCTGGTGATAGTGTCATTGCACCTGTAGTCTTTGTAACAGTGTCATGTCGCTTCAACCTTGGTAACAGTGTCGTATTACCTCTAGCCAGGGTAACAGTGTCATGTAACCTGTAGCGAGGGTAACATTTTTTATGTACCCTCTAGCCTTGGTAACAGTGACATGCCACTTCAGCCTGCGTAACAGTGGCATGTCACCTCCAGCCCGGGTAATAGCGTCATGTCAACTCCAGCCTTGGTAACAGTGTCATGTCAACTCCAGCCAGGGTAACAGTGTCGTGTCAACTCCAGCCTTTGGTAATAGTGTCAGTCACCTCCAACCAGGGTAACAGTGTCATGTCAACTCCAGCCAGGGTAATTTGTCGTGTCAACTCCAGCCAGGGTAACAGTGTCATGTCAACTCCAGCCTTTGGTAACAGTGTCAGTCACCTCCAACCATGGTAACAGTGTCAGTGTGTCACCTCCAACCATGGTAACAGTGTCAGTCACCTCCAACCAGGGTAACAGTGTCATGTCAACTCCAGCCAGGGTAACAGTGTCGTGTCAACTCCAGCCAGGGTAACTGTCATGTCAACTCCAGCCTTTGGTAACAGTGTCAGTCACCTCCAACCAGGGTAACAGTGTCAGTGTGTCACCTCCAACCATGGTAACAGTGTCAGTCACCTCAAACCAGGGTAACAATGTCAGTCACCTCAAACCAGGGCCTAGATTTTCGAAGCTCTATTAGCGCTAAGATAGTCGTAAGTGCCATACATTAACATTAACCTACGACTATCTTAGCGCTAAGAGAGCTTCAAAAATCTAGGCCCAGGGTACCAGTTTCATGTCACCTCAAGCCAGGGTAACAGTGTCATGTCACCTTTTGTCAGTGACCTAAGTAGTCGGAAAACGTTCATCACGTGGTTTGTGTGATGAAGCGCACCCCTTGTCATTATGGTAAGCTGGTATTAGGTATTGACGTCATATATGCTGACTGTTTTCGGTGATTTATGAATTAACAAGCAGTAAAGACCCCTGGGGACATACTTAGTATATCATATAGCATGTCATCAGTGGACTAGCTCTGAAAAGATCAGTATCCATAAGTGATTACTTGTATGCATGACTTATGGTTTGATACCTGTAAATGCCACATGGTCTTGAACATTTGTATGCGGTTTGTCAGTAAAGTTAGATCCCAAAGTAGTGAACAGCCTTGTTCCGCATGTGATCCGCATTGTACTTCCCTAATATCATCATAGACCTGAATAGTTGCTGCTCATGAGGCACCCACTGGTAATTGAGCTGGAACCTCAACCGGACAATTCACTCTCTCACTCACTCACTCACTCACACACACACTCACTCACTCACTCACTCACACACTCATTCACTCACACACTCACTCACTCACTCACTCAGTGGTTTGTAGGTGCTGCAATATCAAAAACACTGCAAACACATGTACAATCCAAATAAACCCTTTCCCCTGTTGACTTTGAGACAGGAGTTTAGGAAGTAGCATTTCATTTGATCATCCATAATGTATCTGATGAGAAAGAAGTTATGAATGCATGTTTCACTGGTAAGTAGTCAACGGAAACGTTCACACGCACGCACGCACGCACGCACGCACGCACGCACGCATACACACACGCCATGATAGCTCCTTCAGCCAGCCTTAGACATACTCCCTGGTTATAGCAAGTGCGATAAACTGATTTCCAGTCAGATGGTGTTCAACCCACCTGACTGTAGAGCACCAGAGATCCAGCAACATGGATGTATACATGTTAGAACTGAATAAACATCTAGGACACAATATAAGCTACTCCGGTATGTAAAAGTTGTAAAACACATCCTATGTTTAAAATCCATATTCATGGACCTCTTGAGGTACATGTGGTCGCCCTAGTAACACAAATGTGTCAGTAGTCAGTAGTTATGGAGCAGTATGTATGAGTTCATTTCTTGCGATTGTTAGTGGCAGCATAATGCAAGCGCTCGTAAAATGTCAAACGTTAATTATTTTGTTGGGAGGAAATTATAGTTTTCTGTCAGCTATTTCTGGGACAAACTCCCATATTCAAGATGTCTAGAAGGCTGGTTGTACGGATATAAGAGCGAGATCACCAGGATTCGTGGCCTCCTATGACTTGACTATCTACTTGTCCATTGCGGGCGGGATAGCCATCAAGTAAACACAAACTTTCTTATCTGCTTCCAACACTATACCAAACCGCCTCCGTGGTGTAGTGGTTAGAGCGTCTGCCTGGAGAGCGGAAGGTCCGGGGTTCGATCCCCGACCGCGTCATACCAAAAGACGTTAAAATATGGTACTTGTTGGTCCCTGCCTGGCGCTCGGCATTAATGGGTACAACAAGGACTGGTCGGCTCGGAGTCCGTATAATGTGTCTGAGTGGGGTATTCATGCTTCACTGCGGCATGGTATCTCAGTGGGCTAGCACTATAAAACCAGCTTAAGTCTGGGCTAGTACAAGCAGCCGCACATACACGTACACACGCATGCACGTCGTCATATGAGCGAAATATTCTCAAGCACGACGTAAAACCCAATTTCACCTCACCTCCAACACTATACCAAAAATTCGAGAACGGACAACTAGCCTCACTCAAAACAGGCATCTGCGGCAAACTCTGGACATTCGTGAGTGCAGAGATTCAGACAATAGTGCTTGCGTTTAGCGCGAAGCGGGGGATATAGTATTAGGCTCCGTCCGTCCGTACGTACGAATTGGAATATCTTAAGAACCGTTGACTAGATTCTTTTCATATTTGGTACCTAGGTTCATCACAGTATATGAAAGGACCAAGTCAGGTTTGGTGACCTTGACCTTCATTTCAAGGTCACAAGGGGACTTTAACGTTTTACCTGCATGTTAAGCTATCTCAAGAACCGTTCTCTGGATTTTTTTTATATTCAATACCAAGCTTTATCTAGGGAAGGCGCAGGACCCTGTCGATTTTGGTGACCTTCACATCATATTCAAGGTCATGGCGACACTTTGAAGATTTCGGCATATTAACCTGCATCTTATGCTTGTCAGCGAGATACCTCAAGAATCATTCACTGGAGTTTCTTCATATTTGACACCAAGCTTCGTCCAGGGAAGGCGCAGGGCCCAGTCGATTTTGGTGACCTTCACTTAATTTCAAGGTCACAGAGACACTTTGAAGATTTCAGCATATTAACCTGCATGTTAAGATAGTCATCAAGATATCGCAAAAATATTCACTCGATTATCTTCATATTTGACACCAAGCTTCATCTAGGGAAGGCCCAGGGCTCAGTAAATTTTGGTGACATTCACATAATTTTCAGGGTCACGACGACACTTTGAAGATTTCAGCATGTTAACCTGAATTGTCAGCAAGATATTTCAAGAACGATTCACTGGATTTTCTTCATATACTTTCAAGACTTCCCTTGAATGTTTTTCAATAAGCTATTTCTTTAGTACTATTTTTGCATATTTCATACACTATGTCAAGGTCAAAGTCAGTCTTGAAAATATGTTTGTGTTTGAACAAATAAAGAGCAAGATATCAAGAGAGGTTGACTGGTCATGTGTTTGTTGACATTTAACTTCATCTTAAACTTTCATTACTTTATAAGTTTGATTTGATAATTTACGGCGGGGGATTATGTCACCTTAGTGATAATGCTTGTATTTTTGCATTAACTATGTATGGTAAGAAATTCGACTTTATTTCTTTGTGGCTTGGAAATTGAACGGCAGATCTTTGTTTCAATGTGGCGAAAAAAGTCGACTTTGATTTAAATAGAGTTTTATTTTTTGTGGTAAGGAAAATCATTTTATGTTGTGAAGGGAGTTAGCTTTAGTTCTCTATGGCAAGGGATATCTTCCTCATGTTATGTGGTAAGAGAAGTCGACTATATT